GTTAATCCGATCCGCTGTAGACCGCAAGTGTCATGTTGGAACAGAGTAAGAAGCGTAAACTTCAGGGTTCTTGAAGTATATATATATATATCAGATCGCCTATACTAAGTATAGTCTCTGGAAGCATAGGGTATATATATATAACTATACATATATATATATTATATGTTTATTTATTTGTTTTTCGTGTTGGTCCGTCAGCTTTCGCCACCCGACAACGATAAGGTTGGGGCTCCGAAAGAGGGGCCGACCCAGGGTTTGAGCAGATGAACAAAAAAAAAACACAGCCCCGCAGTGCCACAGGCGAGCGGAATATAGCGGAATGTTTCATCCAGTCGTCCTATTTCCGGCACTCAAGATGAAAGGACAGTTGAATGGGATTGAATGAGATGGTTGCACGCATCTCCAACTCAACCAAATCCGTCGTATGTGTCGTATCGTTTCTCAAGACTTGAACGGGACCATGCTGCTCACGAAGGGCCACCGTTTCGACATGGACTCCGTCGACGCGGCGGGCCCGCTTCGGCCCCAAGGTGATTTTGCCCCTGCTGATGCCGGAATTCTTTGTGGGACTGCGAGACCTGGCACCAGCTTCAAAAATCAGTGATGTGATAAGGATTCATAGCAAGAGGGGTACAGGATGGTACAGGTACCCGCAGGATTTTTGCGTTCACAGGATGGGCAGGTTCAAATCTAAGAGTTATAACAATTTGCTTTCGTGAACACCTGAAAGCACCATTTCTCATGGCAAATGGGAAGACCCTGGAAGATTTGGTCTCTACAAATTCGATTTGTTCCACGATGTTCCACTTCCATTTTCAAAAAGATAGACCATGATAGAACAATATATAGTCTGTGTTGGTGTGTCACGTGCTGCAAGACTGCAAGGAACATGAGGCATTCTTGCAGCAGTTCTGGTTCTCGAAAGACATCTCAGAAACAAGACTGGTTGCTACAGCCACGATTGTTTGTCTCCCTGTAGTCCCTTTATGTATAGTCACTGTAGGTCCTATCGTTCCGCAATTGGTTCCATGGTCAAACACCCATGCCCAGGCTGACGCCCCACAACTCCTGCCTGGTTTGCTGTTTCTTCGTACATTTGATGTGACACGGTCCCCGGTACGTTGTGCTGCTTTCGGTATCACATGTGGCATCTCCCACCATTGCTTTGAAGATCCACCTTTTTCAAGTGCTTTCAGGATGATGGGATTCTCAACATCAGAATTTCGTTGGTCATTCGGCTTGAATTCGATCTACGACCTTGGAGTAGGGCCAGACTGGGCTCATTCTTCAGGTGAACCCACATATATATATATATATATCTCCAAGGTTGAGAGGCTCTTGGATGATGGAAACTTCTCAGTGTCTCCCAACAAAATTCTCGATCAGGATGGTTCCGGGATGCGGGTTTCAGGCTATAGGGTTCAGTGTATGTTTTCAACATGTATTTTGATTCTCCGTTTGGCCAGAAAAAGCCCGAGGAAAGCCTTGGAAAGGAGTGCTGCTCTTTGGCCCCCCCGGCACTGGCCGCTTGGTGGAGAGGCACCGTGACTTGCACGGCCTCGCTCCCGACCGGCCGAGCAGGCCGAGCAGGCCATCAGCGATTCCTCCGCGTGTTTGGGGGCAAGTTGGTGCACGCAGTGGCTCGAATTGGTGGGGTGATCACAATTCACCCCCATCCCCCAAAGCGGCGACAAGACATTGAGTCTGCGAGCCAAAAAAACACACTGTACTCAGGTTGACCAGATCGGTTGACAGGTCCAGGTCCTACCGGTCCCGTTCTCCACGGAAGAGAGGTAAGATGCGCAGCTCCAGGAAAGACCATGCTGGCAAAGGCCGTGGCGTCCTGCACGGAGAGTCTTGGCAGGCAGCTTAAAAACCCAGGAGAACCGCAGGATTTTTTTCCAAGCACAGTGCCTTCCAAGGAAATCCGCAAGGTAGTTCATGCTCGTCAACCAAACTCGAAGGTTGAAAGAGATATTCTTAGTGCTTCACGCAGGCAATGCTGGTTGGGACCTTTTCTTTCCCGCGCTTGGATGAGTAGACCACGTCCAGGTGGATTTATGATGGAGATGTCCGTGTGGGTTGTTCTAGTATCTGGAAGGAAGACCGCGAAGTCCTGCACCACCTATAAAATCCAACTCCAACTGCAAAGACCTATACTGCGTATGGACGGGGCATGGGTTTATCATGGGTTTCATGGAACTGCACCTCCTAGAAAACCCTAGTCCTGCACCACCTGGTCAATCTAGTTTCATGTTTGGATGTCTTCCAACCACCTGAGTGGGCCGCAGTTTGTGGCGTTTCGCACACGGATCCCGGTTCTCAGAGGTGGGTGCCGTCCCTCTTCGCGACCTCGGTCACCCAGTCTTCCTTGAACGGAGTCCGCGGTCCTTCCGCCACGCGGATTCTGAAGAGCTTTTCTGGGACGTCTCAGAATCCTGTTTGATCTGGGAGGTGACCCGAGGTGAAGCCCTGAGAACGACGAGGAACATCACCCAACATTGGTTTTCTCCCACCCTGGCACCCCAAAACAAGGAGAGACACATGCTGTCAGATGGTGTCACCTTGAAAACACTACCACGAGGAATGTCAAGTTTTTCTTTGCTGTTTCATGCTGTTTCCCCGTCCTCGATCTTGCTGCAACTGAAAGTCTGTGACAATGTCTCGGTGTCACCCTTCTGTAATCCTTCTTCACTTCCTTACCCCTATAATATTACAATGCCTTATAACTGATCACCTGGAAGTGCTTCAAGAGCTCTGCCACCCGATTCACCAGGAACATCACCTTCTTCAACTGCAGCTCTGCCACCCTGACCTCCAAGTGGCGGGGCGAATCCGAGAAGCTCCTCCGGGCGCTCTTCCAGACGGACGCCCGACCCCGACCCCGACCCCGGTCCGGGACCGGACGTGGCACACGTGGGAGCGGACGTGGCAGAGTCGTGCGGCCAAGAGAGAGGGTGTCCAATAGGTCTTTTTTGTTTTTCAATTTGTTGTTCCGAAACGCTTGTCATATGTGGTTTCTTTTTTTTTGGATACTTTTGTGTTTTTTTTTTCCAGACTCTTCTGCCCAGCACTCTCCAACAGGCAGTCTGGGGACCTGCTATCTCCACCCAGGGGGTCCGGAGAGGGACCTGGACCCAGAGGGGTTCTGTGCCGCATGGGGCTTAGACCATGGATGACTGGTCTCCGGAAGGGGTGGAAAGAGGCGGGAAAAGGTGGGTTTTAATTGTTTATATTTTTTTATAGTACCCAAATGTACGCAACGTTTTACATCTCGAGTCAAGGGGTTTGAGGATTCAACCGCTGAGACTACAGTTTTGTAGAAGAGCCGCTGATGGTTGTTGCTGAGCTGGTAGAGGACAACTCAACCTTTTTGGGAGGTGCGCTGATTAACAAGAAGCACCTTGCAGTGCAGACGTGCAGGTAGATATGGTGGATCTCAGATGCCAGGATGAATATTGGATTTGATGGGATTCCTACGTTTCCACATGTTTCGTGGGTACAGCAGGATGCATGCGGTGGTCACTGTTTGGACAGTATTGGACTGGATGTTTCCTTGGATTGGATTCCCCATGATTTCCCACAATGAGTCGACTCTACGTGAAGTGAGATTATTATTTTCCGCTGTTTTATATACATCTCACATTCTCTCACGATGTTTGGCTTTTGCATCGCCAAAAGCAGACCCAGGATCTATTGTGATTGAAGAAATCCTGTAAAACGAGACCTTGGAGAGATGCCCTTCCAAATAAAATCGGGATCCTTCCTCCCCTGTTGGTCTATGTGTTGGTCTACACGGTCGTTCTTGCACCACTTTGTCTCCCGTCGAATCTCGTCACAAGGCGAGAGCTCGAGTCCCTTCGATCCTCTTCTTCGATGAGATCGATTCGTGCCCTGGTCGGCTTACCTCGACCCAGAGAGAAAGCCCAAGCTATCCAAGGCCCAGGGCTCAAAGGCCTTTAAGCTTTGTTATCTTTGTTGACGGAGTCTGCAGAGTCATTTCGATACATGAACTTGTGAAAGAATCTGGATACTGAACCTATTTCTGAAAGGGAAACGCCACAGCGGTTGACCAAGCCCTCACCGTGTCACCTTTGGGTCTGAAGATGTCTGAAGATGTCTTGCCAGTTGCCTCTGGAGGGATCTGAGAGTGCTGCTAGGTTGATTTTTGTTTGGGTTTGTTGGGATAGAACACTCCGCTTAAAAAGATTCAGCGATTGAACGATGAACACAGCCTGCCTTCTTCCTTCTTCCTTCGAAGTGAACGAGGACGTGTTTTGTGGGGCCATCCAGTTGGTGCCCAAAGCAGCACAAGCAGATATGACCAGCAGCTGATTTCACACTGGTCATTGCTTGTCATGGAGGATTTTGACATTGTTTGATGCCAGGAACATGTCATTGTGCCTCATGAGATCAGAAAGGTAAGGTGCAGGAATCTCGAGCAGAACCGTGGTACTGCAATGCTTTTTTTAATTCCCCGGCACCCGGTCATCCCAACCAAAGGGAAACATGTGCAGTTTCGCATGATTTGGAGTCTGCAGGGCGTCCCCTATCAAAATGACTTATTTGATAGTGACCCCAGGAATCCCCAGGATACATTGTCGAAGTGACTCTGTGACATGTCTTGGACTTTTTAGGTGTTTCCCCGCAGCTCGCTTGAGCACGTGGTCAGAGACCCAGCTTTCGCCCTAGGTTGTTGTCCCAACGTGGTGGACCAGCTGAGCACGAGGTGCGGGGCAAGGACTGATGTGTTTCGCCTCAGAGTTGGTGAAGACGAACACCACTATATGGGTTATATACGTCACATGGTTGGAACCTTTGAACATACTGCATGATTCCCTACCCGTTGTACTGAAACGGCTGCGACGCATCAACCCAACGGATGAAGAAGCAGATGTTGGGAAGTTACATATTTCCTGCCACAAGTTGTCAATCTTTTTCAGGCAATGCCGTGTACAATGACACAGATGCGAAAGAATTTGGAAACGTGATACTCCATGATGATCCTGCCACACCCCTGGCAAGTTTGGGAATAGACCTGAGAACTCTAGCACTCGAGTCCGGTCGATTCTTGGAGTGCCAAACAAATTCGGATCCTGCCGCGGTTTCCCCACTTCCGGGCGCTGGGCAACCTAGACCCAGACCGCTCACGTCCCAAACCGCTCACGAGCCGCTCAGACCGGGACACCGCAGGCGTCCCCTTCCGCCGTCGTCGACTCTGTTTCGCAAAACACCGCAGTTCCGGTGCTCGGCTTTTCCGGCGCTCGGCGGTTGCGTGAGGCGGGAGGCGTTCTCCGCGTCACGCGCGCGGCGCGGAAAGGCCTCGCGGCGGTTCAAATCCGAGTTCTTGATACACATGGATGGCCTGTCGGGAGAGCCCAGCGCCACCAGCGCGGCCGGAGACCAGCAATGGAGCGAGTGGTTGTTTGGTGTGGGAGCCTCAAAGGTAATGTTGACTCTTGATTAATAACCCCCCCCCCGGGGGTCCCCCCCCTCCTCAACAATTTCTCAACAATTGAGACTCCAGAACAATATGATAGAAAAAACAATCAATTGATAAATAAATAAGGAATCCTTAGCTAGCTACCTCGGGAGCTACTCTGGCAATACTAAAATGAAAGGAAACAAGAAACTAACTTTGAAGACATTTGGAAAGCCTTAAAATGAAAAGGGATCAATGAAACCTCAGATTGAAGACATCTGGAATATTACAGTAAAAGGGAATCAATGGAAATAGAAATGGACATGGAACTAACTCTTTAAACTTCAATGGAAATCTGAATCCAAAGACCTGCAAAATCATTCAATCTCAATGGAACTCTCCAAGTTTTCAATGGAAATCTGAATCCAAAAGACCCGCAAAATGAAACTTTTGGACAGCTTAAAGACTAAAAAGCTTGGGTAAGTAAAGCAAACCAAAAGGAAAAGAAAGGGAATGAATACAAGTTTACTTAAAGCAACATATTTTTTTAAGCCTGAAATCTCTAGACATTATTCTAGAGGCCCCCCTAAATAATGTCAGAAAGCTGCTTGCTGGACTACCCCCTTTGCTTGAATGATTTTGTTTTTTCAATACTTTTGAATAAGGGATTTTGTAAAGAACGTGTGCACTGACTTTTGGAAACTTTTGGAAAGCTTAAAGACTAAAGAGCTTAGGTAGGTACAGCAAACCAAAAGGAAAATAAAGGGAATGAATACACGTTTATTTAAAGCAAACTATGTTTTAAGCCTGAAATCTCTAGACATTATTCTAGCCCCCCCCCCCTAAATAATGTCAGAAAGCGGCTTGCTGGACTACCCCCTTTGCTTGAATGATTTTGTTTTTTCAATACTTTTGAATAAGGGATTTTGTAAAGAAAGTGTGCACTGACTTTTGGAAACTTTTGGAAAGCTTAAAGACTAAAGAGCTTAGGTAAGTAAAGCAAACCAAAAGGAAAAGAAAGGGACATCTTCAAGTGTTTAATAGAAATCTCCATCCAAAAGCCTCCAAAAGCATCAAATCTCAATGGAAATCTCCAATTTTTAATAGAAATCTCCATCCAAAAGCCTTCAAAAGCATCAAATCTCAATGGAAATCTTCAAATGTTTAATAGAACTCTCCATCCAAAAGCCTGTAAGATAAGCAAATCCCAGCAAACTCAAAAGGGAAAAAAAGTAAACTATAACAATAAAACATATTCCACTACAACTACCCCTCCCCCCCAAAAACAGACATTATTCTGGGGGCCTTTATTAATCTGTGCAGGAAAAAAACAGTCACTATTCTGGGGTACTTTATTAATCCAAGGACAACATTAGGGTGACCGGGTGGAGTGCAAAGGTTTTTTTTTGGTGAGAAGAATGTCAAGAGTGTTGCTGTGATGAGACGCGGAAGTTGGCGAATCCAAGGGTCCTGCGCACGGTGATTGAACATGTGAGCGGCAATGTGGGGCCCCGGAGAGGTTGGAGATACCTTCAGCACCATGTTCCACTGGCCCGGTGAATATTCAGCCTATTCATAAGGCGCTCCTGCTTCAGCTGTTTGTTCACGAACTTCAGCACGAACGTGAAAAACAAAACTGAGTTGACGTCTCTTCCGTTGGAGAAGCCTATATTTACCGTTCATGGACACAATCCTTTTTCACCTGAACCAATTTACATACACTGATGTGTTTGCAGGATATTGGGTACCTCAAGGATACTGGCTGTGACATGCTGTGGCATGCTGTGAATCCATCGAGGCGCCTTGACGCTCCGACTCATCCCAATCCCGCTTGGCTCAGGCTGAGTGATGCCGGCGAGCAGAATGGGCGCCTGTGGCGGAGTTCTCAACTTGGGCAGTTGAAGTACTTGTGAAACGCCTGGATTCCATGATGGGTAGTGATGTGCGGCAGTAGGATGAAATAATATATATGACATATAGTTTGAATGTATTTGATGAGGGTATCCTGCCACCACTGACGCAAAGCATAAGAGGCGCCGCTGTTTTTTTCAGAGGTCCCTTTTAGTTTAAATCCACGGCCCTATCTATGTTTAGATATTGGTGCCAGCAAAAGTAATGCATAGAAATTTGGCGCCGGAAAAAAGGTAATAAATAGAAAGCACAAACACACAGATGTGTGATGTGTATATATATATATGATGTGTGTCAACCCTCAAATCATGATAGGTTGACATCGTCTGCGTAGTCTGATTGGGTTGATGACCTAGGTCAACCTAGGTCAACCTGGGTCCAGGTCCCACGGTTTGGACCAGAAAACACAGGTTCCAACCACCAAATAGCCTATACAGGGATACGGGGGGGGAAAGGCCAGAGAAATAGACATCTCATGACATCTTTACTTCATGACATGCTGTAATTGAATGTTCCCCCCCCTGTGTTTGTTCCTTTGAGAGCTCTTTCCTGGACTTGGGCTAGGTGATTGCCAAGGAGATGTGATGTTTGGTCTATCTACTGTATGTGTATTTATATGTCATATGTCTATCAATTCTCCAAGATTGCCTGCAAGTATGAACACATTACGCTATGATCTTGGCTTAGGCTTCTATCGTTGATGTGGCCTATGGTTCTGCAAGTTAAGCATCAGGGTCGTCAAAACGTGCTCTCCCAGCGATGCCAGGCTTGTGAATGTACTTTGAACTGCCCCCCAGCCTGTCCATTCACTTCATGTAGCACCATCCCTGAAACCAGTGGACGTCCTCATATCAAATACCAGTACATGGGAAGTACATGGGAACGTACATGGGCACCCATGGGTAGCCTTTATTTTTGCAGGACATTCACAGATTCCGAACTCGCCGCTCAGACACCTCTTCGTTCTGGCGACCAGCAACGCGCCCTGGGACCTGGATGAGGCCCTCCGCCGCCGCTTGGAGAAGAGGACCCCAGCGCGAGGTTTGATGCGCTTTGTCGCGTTCTTTTTTCGGAAACCGGGGAGGCCTATGTTGCGGTTTGCATTTGGGGAAACCGGAAGCTTTGTTTGTCGTCTCTTTGCCGTTGCTGCAGGGTTAGTGTAGATGTTATAAGTTGAGCTTTTACATTCAAATTGCTTCTGTTTAAGGTTCATCTTCATCTTCTTGTTTCTTTTGGGTGTGACAAGAATCCTTGTCGACTTCAAGCGGCGGCCGCAAAACAAGCACGGGCTCCACTCTGGAAGACCATTTTCTCCGGAGACTAAACCGTTTAACCGTTTGGATTCTTTTGGTGGTTGTCACAGCAATTCCATGGGGATAGTAAAGTTAAGACATCATGTGGACACCCGACAAGCTGCTTTGGGTTCTGTGGAGAGACAGAATGACCAGGTTGGAGGAAATTCCACAAGCCACTTCCTGGCTCAACCCTCCAGCCAGACTATTTTTAACAAAGCCCCATGTAAACACTTGGAAACCCGAGCTAAATAAGAGCCTTGGGGGTTTGGGTCAGCGAAAGAAAAAGATGCTGGCCCATGTCCACAAAAGATTGAGCCCATTCATCAACTGGTTCGATGTGATGTGACAGCTTTGGCATCCCTGACTGTGTACAGGAAAAGAAAACCTAGGCGGCCAGCCGCCAAACTCACCAGCTTTTGGCTGCGCACAAGAGATGCCTTCTCAGATTTCCTCAGCCAAACATGGAAGTTGATGAAGCTGACCATGATTCAGAGATGCTCAAGCCACATAATCAATCATAATCATAAGAAGCATCATGTGGCAGTGGTCTGATTGTTGGGGCAAGGCACCTGTACTGACTTGTAAGGTTTAGATGGGTTCATCCGGCACGAATGTTCGGGGGGCTCTCTCGTAGGATCTACATCCCTTTGCCAGATGAGAATGCGCGGCATCGGATGTTGGAGCATTTTCTCAAGGCGGGGAACATGTCAAGCCGGTCTTGGTGACAACAGGATGATCAACATCGACTGCTCCAACAAGGAGAGGTTGACTAGTTATTAGTATTAGGAACATTTAGGAACTAATAGGAACTATATTCTGTTGTATATTCTTGTAGTTATTCAATCTGGTGTCTCCTTGTGTGCGCCTTAGCGGGTCACGGTGCACAGATGTTGCGACAGGAGATTGATTTGTCGGACGTGGACCTCGCACAGCTGCTTGGTATGTATTTATTTATTTTTCTAGTGCTTCAGACAGGGTTAACACCAAATTTGGATTGTTCACTAACTGTAGGGGTTCAGATCTTTTTTGTTTTAAAAGAATACCAATAAAAGATTCCCTCCCTGTTTCCGTTGGCTTCCGAAGAGACCTGACACCTGGACCTGCTGGTTCGAACAACCTCCATGAAGCCCTCCAAAAGCGAGCGCCGCCTCCAGTGCGTGGAGTTTGGATTTAAAAAGAGTCATGTCGAGGAGAACTGAACTGCAAAAGGTTATTTCAGGGCAAAAGAACATGTTCCTAAACGGATGAACTGCAATTTTGAACTCCTTTGCAGTTCAGTTCTCCTTGTGATTTCAGGTCGTAGCTCCGTACTGTTTCAAGGAAGCTAATGATCAAGGTCTTTCATTGGTGGCATGGTGCGACCACACACGTTCGTTCGGTATGCGCAGGGATGTCTTCAACATGAATTGCTTATGGGGATTCATATTTAGCTGGAGACCAAAAACCTCAAAACACTCAGAATTAGAGCGTAGCGGGATATTCTCTGCATCCTTGGTGGTTCAGGATTTTGTCGATTTACACTTTGTCAGTGGCAAGGTATAATTGGGATGAAAGACTCAACCCTTAGACTACTGAGTGCATCGGATCAAATACAAGCACATTTTCCATTGCGATGGAGGATACTCTCCCTGGAAGAAACGTGGAAGTACAACCCCCTGCTTGTAGAAATGGTCTTCCAAGGCGCCAGGTTCATCCATGTTCCACTTCCATGTTAGTCCCAAGAGTGTATCAATCTCACTGCTATCCCACAATTATTGCTGCTGAGCTGGAACAAAATCCATCCTTGGGCCAAGCACAGAAAACCTCGTAGCAGGGATGAACCTGCCATGCTCAGGAGGTTTCAGAATCACTTTCCTGAGAGCTCTTGGGGCGTTATCTAAAGACCAACTACAGTTTAATTATGTCAGTTTCAGAGGTTCGATGGCACTGGCACCCGAAGATGCCTTAGACAGATGGGTTGTCCATCTACACCACCTATTGATGCTTGTGCCATCTACTCTGAACCCGCTGTATAAGCCAAGACGTTGGCTCTGGGGCTTCTAGAACCCTTTCCGCGGGCGATTCCCAGTGGGTTAGAACGTACCCTTCGTCCGGGCCAGACGATCGGATGCCACCCCTCCTGCCCTGTCTTGGGGCCTCGTCGTCTTGGACAGCCAGAAAAGCTAAGATCCTCTAAATTGGGTTCATGATTCTCTCATATTCTCTCTATCATATCCCAAATTGGACCATGCAGGTATTACCAGGTGTTTGCTCCAACTCTCCCTTTGTTGTTGCGCAAATGGAAAGGCTGGCAACGCGCCTGGAGCGGTACAGCGGCGCCGATGTGGGGCGGCCCAGATCGAGATCCATTGGGGCATCATGTCCAAACCAATCCCGTGAAATGTATTTTGATGAACAATGTGACAGATCAGTTTTCCACATAAGCTGCTTTGCTTCCCTTCACTGTCCGCGTGGATCCGCTTGCTTGGACGACTCTGCATCCATTTGGTGGCTGTTGGTGACATCCCAGGTGCAGCTGGTGTGCCGCGAAGCATCCATGAACCCCATGCGCCGTGCCCTGGCGACCGGTGCGACCGGCGAGCGGTCCGGTGCGAAGGGGAGGTCGCGACACGAAAACATGTGCATATGGAAGTGGGTGGGAACCCCCTGGGTGAAGGAAGAAAACAAGAACACAGATCAAAGGTGTTTCCACCTCGGGCCCTCTCTGGGCCAACCGCCCACCCCACCTCCACTCGGGTGCGGGCCGCCTTCGTCGCATCGTTTTCCGGTGCGACTTCACTCGCTCCTGGTGACGTCCAGCAACCATAGCTGTTAGGGATACTGATGCAGTGGGTCATGCAAACTCCTTCGAATTCAATTCCCTTCGCGAAAGCGTGGAAGGTCTGGTGGAAGGTCTTTCTCCCAGCGAGCTAGTGGAGCTGCGGGCAGAAGGCTGGCTGGGCCCGGAGAAGAACGGTTTCGTTTTGGACGAAATGTCACGTGCCACTGCCAATTGGACGAAAAGTATCGAACAATATCGAACAACCGAAGAAGCACTTGAGACCCTATAGGTTAATCAGTGTTTTATATGATAGGTCAGAAACACTTATCGCCCTTGAACCAATAGCAGGTAGACGATGGATGACTGAGTGGGATGTGAATTTAGTTGCCAGGATTCAAAGCCCCGGTTCAGGGGATGTCTAAAGATTTGACCAACCTTTTTAGAGACTTTTAGAGTTGTTTTTAAGCTTGTGCATCTCGAACCAAGAATCAGGGTTTTTGGACGCTGGGAGTTCTTCCTTCCTTAGAACCAGACCAATTTGCAAATACAGTAAACATGGTGCAGATGTTGGGACAAGCCTCGGATCTACGAAACTTCTGTATAGAGTCCAGTCGATGGCAACTATATTTATTATATTAATTTATATTGTATTATATGATATCATATTATAGACATGTATAGACATATATATAGTATTATAGGTATAACTGTGGTTCTTGTTGAACCTTTCTCTTTGGCGCAAGACACCCGGTTGGCATGGTTTTCGCCAACCATCTACACCAGCCTGCCTGTCGCTGTTTGGGACCTGAGCTTTGAGGCAAGCTGAGCATGGAGAACTTGTCAGTGTCCATGTCCGACTTTGAAGATGCGATCCACCGCCACTCGGGCAACACCCTATAGTGGCGTGGCGTCGCAGTGCCGTGAGCGAAACCAGGGATATGTTGATAATTGCATTTCGTTCGGCAAATTCGACATGGGGAAGGAGTTGGTTTGGGCCAACACCATGTGGGTTAAACATGAGCCGAACGGAGCGCCTGTGTATGTTTGTTGGTAAATGTATATATATATATACACACAACACACATAGAAATACGTGCATATATATATATATATATATATGTATACATGATCATACATGTATGTACCAGAGGGCTGAGGACCGCGCTAGTAGCCGTGCACTTTATATATATATATATTTAATCGAAACACTAATCATGTCTTTGATGTTGTCACACATTGCGTGAAAGTCGGGACTTTTTTTAACTGTAAATAGCAGCGGTTTCTCATGTTTCCTCCATTTTTACTGTAAATAGCAGCGTTTTCTCATGTATCCTCCATGGCAACATCATATTGCATTGCATGTTCATGTTGCCTTTGCGTCTTTTTTGTTGAAATTACCTTGTGCTTCAGATGTTTGTGCTCGCTCTTTGCGAATGTTCATTTTTGCCTTTAATATCACCCAATAATCTTATCGACTTTTGTCCGCCTTATCTAAATTTTCATGCTTCTCTCATCATGCGTGTCAGGAGCATCTTCGACCATTGGGTGGGGGGGGGGTTGGGTGGGGGGTTAATGACATACGCATCTTTACATCATGCATTCTGTTGCATCATGCGCCTCGTCATCATCTCTTTTCATTGTGCCAAATGCTCGTGATTTTTTCTTGGCAATGCGGCAATGCTCCTTTTTCTTTTCGTGAGCGTCTACGATGGTTTGCTCCTGTTGATGGTTACCTGATGGTTCAACTTATTTTTTCTTTTGGCGGACGTGGTTCCGGCGCTGTCTGCCTAGTGTACATCTTGTTACTTCGTTTTTTCCGGCTTCAAAGATGTTGAGTGTTCAGACGGTCATCTACAGCAGTGGTTTCGGGTTGACCCTAACTTTCTAGACTCTCTGTCGCAAACCTGGTGGCCGAAGTGTTGTCCATTACGTGCATCGATGGCCGCTGGGTTTTACACGTAGATCTTCTAGATCAACACTTATCTCTACTGTCTCTTTTGTGGTGGACTAAGTTTGGATGTGAACACTGGTTCCACCGATGGGTTTTGGGCTCGTGCAAAGATGGCAATTCCCACCTTTGTGCACACGTCAACGTCCAATGGTGAGGTCAACCCGCAAATCTTAAGGTGTTTGCAAAGGTACTGTTAGAGGTGGGAAAACACAAGCAAAAATCTGATGCTTTGTACAGAACACACAGTTTCACACATCGTTTCACGCTGACTGAAAAGAATGTCCGACAACTATGCTTGACTAGAGCTTTTCAAATTCTCGTTTCGCTGTAGCGAAATAGTAAAATACCCTTGAATCCTTCAAAAAAGACAGTACTTTTAAGGGATGAATTTGGATGAAAAAGCATATTTCGCTGCAGCGAAGTGCGAATTTGAATGAAACACAATGTAAATGAGACTTGCAAGGCTCTTTTTTGGAAGTCAACTGTTTGAACAACTTTTTGAACTCTCCAGTTCAAGATTGGCGACATAAAACTACGCAAAAAGGCAGGTGCAGTTGTCAGCCCAGCGGGATATATGTGCTGCCATGTTTTGAAACTGCAACCAGTTTACTTTCTCTCAGACCCAGAGCCCGACCGCTTGAGGTGTGCAACCCTCCGCTTCTTGGCGAGAGAAACTGCTCTGGACATGCCTTTGAAGGGCGGGATGTGGAGACAAAGAGTAAATATAGGCCTTATTAGCTTCAAGCCCTCGATTCCTTTTGTTTCTTTTTCTGTTCTCTCTAACATATGTCATTCGGATACAGTTTATTGTTTAGGACTTCATGAGCCAGGTGCATCTCATTTTGGCAAGCGCAGGACAAACGCACTGAGGATTTTTGATTTTGTATTTCGGTGTGACATATATAACTTGTTTGATGCCACAGGCCATCCCAAGTTCAGCTGTTTCGAAACCTTTCGAGACGCATGCCGAAACAGCTAAGACCCCCACTTCAAAACACACAGTCACAGACGGACTTCTCTTTTGGTGGAGCCAGCCTCCCGCATGTAGAACAGTTCCATCGATCTCCCCACACAGCCACAGCCTCTCAAACCGAAAGACCTCGCCAGCCAACACTACTAAGAGGCATCCCTAGAACCACTGTGCCACCGCGGCCACTTCGGAAAAAACATTTGCGATACAGGTATTACGGTATAGAGGGTAGTCAAACAGAAAAGAAGATGGTCGTGAGGCAAAACAAGCAGTTCGTCGGTATATATCAGAGGTGACAAATAAGACACGTCAAAACAACTGGTCATAGAAACATTGGTCCTTCTAAATTGAGCCAATATCGTATGCTTGGCCCTTGGCACAGTTGAGCAAACATGTACGCCGTACGCATAATTCCAGCAAACATGGTGCTGGCCGTATGCTGGCCGTATGATTCCCACCGGTCCAAACCTCGCAAGACTTCCCCAAAGGTAATCAGGTGAAATTGCTGAGACCCACTTGTCCTCCTACCTTGTCCGTTCGAAACGAGACCTCGCCAAAGTCCGCGTGCAGTTGGACCGAGAGGAGTCCTATGTATGTGTGTTCATGATCAAGAAGCTTCAGTGGGGATTTAATGGAGCTTCTTCAATGTTTGCCGATTCCAATGATAGTAGCGATGGCCTCCACCTTGATAGCGATGGCCTCCACCCTAGTAGCGATGGCCTCCAGCCTAGAATTAACTTCTCCCCAGAAACACCTCAATCAGTGGGAGCTTTCCCTTAAAAATGGGTCATCCCGGAAGTCTGTCGTTTTCGCCGCGCGAAACCAAAAGCCCGTCTGACTGAGGTCTCGCACAGCGATACTCAACGCCACCTGGAAGAGTTGATGGTAATCTGTGGCCATTGTCACAGGTTCGGTGGAAACAGCGGGGAACAATTCTTCTGGTGAACACATATCGGGCCACACGTTAAGTTGTTACTGGCTTTTGGCTATCCCAAGGTGCCAACCAACTGCTCATGTCCCAGATTCAACTTGAGAGTGTCCTGTACTAGTGTCCTTCTTCTTTCAGAGAGAACGCCTTGAAATCCCACACCCCAAAAGCTACTCGAAGAACTTGTCACATCCTAGCCCCTTGATGGGCAATGCACCCCTGCTCTGGCAAGCCATGCGCAAAGTTTCAGACAAGATGTGCACACCCACATGAGCTACGACCAAAACCCCCACGTGGATGGTTCAGTGAGGATCACAGTAAGCATCCAGTAGGAATCAGTATACAGAATACAGATGAATACATATTATAGTAAAATTCGAGATTTTCCACCAGGTTGTGGCCCTATTGCACATGGCTCAGGATATTTGGACTGGCAGAAGGACTTCGGTTCGCAGTGAGCAGCTTCGCAGCCAAAGAAACCACAGCTTGATTGTTGAGAGCAACGCCCTGCACATGGCCTGTGGATTGCAACGGAGTTGCCAAAGTAGAGCGATTGCTTTTCTTGCCCTCCTCAGCTTCTGAAAGTGGCTGGTAATTGGATGTGTTCCGATGAATAGCAGCCACAGGGGCAGGCTATGGCAGGCTTTGCCGGTGATGGCTTGTCCAAGAAAAGCAATGACATGAAGCGTTTGAGCTTGGTATGGCTCGAAGCCACAGACGGGTGAGACGGGCCTTAAATCGACGATCAGGCCGGTCGGCGAGGTCTCAGATCAATTGTCTTTTTCTTCAAGAACGGCATGGACTGCTGCTTCCTCCTGTCCAACTCAAAGTACTCTGGAAGTAGCCGAGGACAACTTGAAAGCTATATCCTGAATTGTCCACAGTTGGAGTTGGAGATCAAAGATCATGGAAGGAAAGCTGAAATCAATACCTGGTTAGCGTTTCGAGAGAAGTTTGCATCGTGGTTGTCTTTGTTGGATGAACGTTATGCAGTGAGATGAAGCACAAGGACATGGTGGCCAAGCTGTTGAAGAGGGTGAACTGCATCAGGGCCTGCCAAACAGGCCAGTAACTTTGCACATTGTGCACTCACATTTCACAACTCTTTAAATGTCATTTGTTTGAAAGTCATGCATGTGTTTCTCACCTCTGTTTGTCACCTCATTGCACCCTTGGCTTTGCCTCCCTGACAGCTTTAACCGCCATCCGAACCGCACCATTCCATGTTTTGGGGCTCTTTTCTCGCAGTTGCCGTTGAACACCTCGCAACAACAAAAACAACTTGACATGTCCAACCGGAGCGTCGTGGCGGCCATGAGCGGGACCACGTGTGGAGCAAGCGAGCCTGGGTGTGTTTGGAAGGCGGCACCGGGAGGACACCATGATGGATTTGGCTAATTACAAAAAACCTGGGGACTGCAGAAAGACGGAGATCTTGGTTCTTTTTGCTTTCACGATGTTCATGGCATTTCATGGCCATGCCTGACTGGACTCAGCTTGCTGTTTGATGAGGACTGGTTCGACTCGGTTTGACAATGCTCAACCCGCAGCGATGTTTTTGTTATATAACTTATCATTTCCGCAGCAATGTAAAAAAGAAAGGGCGCAGGGATGGCGCGCAGGCTTAAGCAAACTTAAGCACTTCGCGCCCAAACTCCACAAATTAATGTGTCACTCTGTTAGTCGTCGCAAGCTGGGGCTGTAGAAAGCTGGGGACGTAGAACAACCATACAGTGCAGATATCAGTCGCGTTGTTATTAAGTTGCTTGTCACTTTGGCTTTACACCCTGCTCGAAGGTGCATCGCGTTTCGTTTTGTGTCGGATCCCATTTTTGAGGATAAGACATCATTCTGCTAGTTGGGGGATGCCTCTACACCTGTGACTGTGTGACTGTGTTCAGCGACTAGGCGGGTGTGAGCATCCGTTACGACATCACCTCACGGCATGCGCCCCGCGGCAGATACAGCGAGGATGTGCGGTGATCCTGGTTCTATGCTTCTCGATGCCCCTAAGCCAGGACCCTTCTGTTAAAACAGGTCTGTTCTTGAACCAAGAAATGAAGAGCTGCGGGTTTTGAGGTATCCTTGATCGATTGACCAGTCATTTTTACTTAATTCAATGTTATTACTATATTATATTATATTCATGTCACGAAAAGTACCTTGAGCTACCTGAGTTCTCCTTGCTTTAGCAAAAATGTATTACAATCAGGATTTGGTGACTGTAAGAAGGGATTCTGTTCGACCGGGGGAGGGGCCTGGATCAAATCCCCCCTGCGCCGTCGCTGTTTGTGACGCCGTCATGGGCGAAGCGCTGCTCAAAGAATCGCTACCTTTCGTTCACCCCCCCCTATCTCAAGTTTTTAGTCATTTTTTTCAGTAGTGTGTTGATGAAATAATCGTGGAAGTGGAGAATGGTCCCTTGAATGATCATTGTTCCACTTCTAAGGGGTGGTTAATGGATAGCCCTTAACCTCCAAGGAGCTATAATACAATAGTATATATATATATATAATGAGACGGGGCCCTGGTATGTATATTCTTTTGTTTCTAAAGCGACTTGAAGAAGACACTCCCGCACTGGACTTTGGGCGATCGCCCCAGGTGGGAGACTTGGCAGTTGATGGCTGTTCCATGGCAGTGATCGCTCTATGAATTTGATGAGCTACCATGGGATTGCAAGGATCAGACTCCAGCGGGTTCAGCCAACGAACACAGGGTGGTGCCCCTGATGATTCAGTTGAGAGTTCAGCAGGTACATGGCTGTCTTCAGTGTGAAAGAGGCCTTGTACTTGGGTTTCCCACCATTTTTCGCTCCACCTCAGCCTTCACCCCTTCACCCACCCCGCTGTGCGCGGTTCATGGTTCAGCGGTTCCCCAGCCCGAGGTTCTGGTGGGAGCAGTACTTCCCACGTTGGGAGATGCACACCTTCCGGGTCTTCCAACGCTTTGTGAGGTGCGGGGGAGTCGTCCGATGAGAAGTGACACCGCGACACCGTCGGGGGTATATTGAAAAGATGGTCTCCCCTCCCAGTTCGACCCCCTGGAAGAAGGGGAATAGACCAAAACAAGTACCAAAACCATCCAACACCCCATACTAAAACCATCCCAAACCCATTTGTTGGCGGGTTATTCTATTCAAAATAACCAAACCACATCATGATACTTAGTTGGATCTGACCAGAGCCTTTGCCGCGAATTCCGTTATTTTCGGAGGTTCTCGGAAGCTGGGCTAATATTGATGGTTCCGGAGGCCTTATATAATGCTTCCCAACAGTTGGTTCATGTTGGTTCTAGTCCAGTAGGATGTTTCTTACTAGAATTTGGACCATCTACGTCTATGTCCTTGAAGTGGTTGGCTCCTGGTCTAGGGTAAGACGGCCCACATTTGTCGTGAGTGTGTGAGTGTTTGTTTCAATGAGGCAGAGTCGAACAATCAAGAAACAGCGATGAAGCTATATATGGAGCGTGTCCAATCCAAGCAGTTCCACTGCATAGCTTGATCACGTTCGATTCGCTCCACAAAGCATGTGTTCGGCGACATCATAGTCTATCCCCGCATAATTTTTGCCAAGTGATGCTCATTACAGCCATAGGGTGTATCAGACTAGGGTGCTCTCGGAATCTCGAACAAATCCACAAAACTGGCCATATTGAAACCGGGATGGATCAAACTCGGGAACAAACCCTGGAACTGTCAGAAGAACATCTGAAAGACTCAACAAGAACATAGAAACTGGGAAGATGGATGAATGGATGGATCAATTGAACCCGAAAACCTTAATGACATCACCTCCAAAAAAAACGGGCATCAAGCAATTATAATCAGCAAATTCAAAGTTTTAAGGCCATATTCCGAACGAGTCGGCCCCCCACCATCGGCGTCGCGTCTCGCCTAGGCCGGGCGCGGTGGTCTTGGACGCGGGCGGGTGGATCGGCAGCACCGCCTTGTGGCTGGCTGAGCGGGCACGGAAGGCCGGGATGTTCGCGGTGGATGAGATGGAGGAGCCGGAGGAGCTGAGAGAGGGAGATGCCAAGAACCCTGAAGAGGATGAATATGGTGGATTTCCCGGAAGCCACTTCAGAAATTATATATGCAATTAAGGTGGGATTCATTGAATAAGTCATCTCAGACAAATTTGAGGATTAGTTGGAGCCGCTCGGGCTAAGCCCGGTGTTGTTCTTGTTCTGGTTTTGCATCGTATAAACAGTTTGTTTCTTGTGCCAAAGGTCGGCCAAGCCTTTTGGATACTTTTGGTCAACAAGGTCGATAGGCCCACGCCATGGGGTGTTTGATTGATTCCTAATAGCGAACATTGCTCCTAGTAGTAAGGCCAGGAGCCCCTAGTAGCGTCCATGCTCCTAGTAGTGATGCCAGGAGCCCCTAGTAGCTTCTTGCTCCCCAAAAGAACTCCCAACCAACAAGCGGTTCCGCTGATCAATACCCCGGCCGGTGCGCCATCGTGTCGCGTCCTGTCGTGTCCCATGTGGCTGTGAGTCAAGACCTGGGGGTCTGGCCCAGCCATATATTGCTCTATAAAACATTGTTACAGGTGTGCAAGTGATTCTATATATCACTGTAGGTGATATAGCTCTACACCCCAGATGTTTTCAAGCACCGGACTTCGAGGTGGTGGTGCTGGAGCCCGGAGATCGAGCCTTCGAGGAGCTCCTTTTGCATGTGGCGCAGAACCCCACGAGGACGTCCCGTCTGACCCCACCGTGAACCGTCAACCAGTGGTATAAGAAGAAGATGAGAAGAATGTGGATGGAACTTGAAAGAGTTTCCTTCCTCAATGGAGAAGTGCAGGGGTTCTTTGATGTTCTACCTTTCGTGGTTTTCGGCCGGGAGAAACATCAACCTAGAAACCTCATTCTTCACGCCAAAAACGTGAGAACATGTTTGGTTACGGATGGAGGATGAGAAACACAAGAGACTGAAGATGCGAATCGCGACTCTTCTCCCAACGCTTCTCCCGCCAGGCGGTCGCGGCTCTCGTTGCTGCGAGCAGCCTTGGGACCCAAGAGGGGCCTGGTGCAGATGACGAACCGTGGCGATTCCGCAGCAGCGTAGCTGCATGGACCGAACAAGATGGTTGGTTTATGTTCGGTTTGCTTGGTACCAAACTTCAAGTTGTTTTGGGGTGTAGGGGTAGGTGGTGGTGAGTGGACTTGGTTCAATAGACTGGTAATGCAAGAATGATGTTCAAAGAGATCTGTCAGATCTTTCAGAAGACAAGAAACCATAATGACCAAGCTTACCAAACAATGTGTGCAATTAGCACATACTCGTACAATGCCGTGCAAGCAAGACCCATCCGGTTTCATTGCACTTTCAGAACCAGAACACACAAGAGATTATCAAGGATTTTGACTTAATCGCGACCCCATGATGGATAGACGTCTTGCGGTAGGGTTTCTTTTTCGTGTCCTAAGAATAAGGGCCCGAACCAACACATAGGGTTTGAGGGCAGGTCCGGCCCCTTGCGAAGGTGTCGGGTCCGACCCCTGCCATGCAGGGTCCAAGGATGCTTAGGGTAGGTCATGAACCTCGTTCTGTATTCGTCTTAGCCCTGAGCCGCTTGGAGTTCTCAGCCAGACGGTGGGAACCCCGCGATCGCCCCAAAGTCGTGGGCGCATGAGAAGAGGTTACTTGGAGCTTCCACAAGGCTAGTAGTGTAGAGTAGCCCAGTAATTAGCCCATTGACCATTGGTGACCTTTTGATTGTCTGATTTGGACGTTGCCCAAGTACTTGGAATCTGAATGAATCTTAAAAAGCATTAAACAGCTAAGGACCTTTTATAGGATTCCCAAACAAACATCTGGTGGATGGCGGGATTCCCATCTTGACCCATCTTTTGTTGGACCACGCTTCGACCAAAGGCGGAACCTTCTCTCAGGATCAAGTCGGCGTCTTCGACCGGCAGGAGGGCATCTTGAGCTCTGTCTTCGGAATCAATGACCTGCTCTATGCCTTTCCCGAGTTGGAGGCCGAGTTGGCGAGCGGATGGGTAGGAACCGTATACCTTGGATAGAGTTTTGGATAGGTACCTGGGGAACAAGTGGCGTGGGCCACCGTGGCTGGGCCACTTCAAGCAAAGCACTTTCAGATTTCAATCATCTCAAGCTCGCGTCGAAAAAGAGCTTTCATCCAAATCAGACTTGAATGCTTACAGCCGAATATAAATATAGTATACAGTAGTATAATATAGATCCCTCCGTGAAGCTCCCAGAAAAGATCCTGATACCCAACTGGTTCAGCGATTGTAGAGGTCTGTTGAAGCCACGGTCTGCTGGGTTGAACCGACGGTCCTCCTTGTCTGTGCAGGACGTCTCCTTCATAAAGATCGATGTGGTGACTTTGAACCCATCGATGGGGGATGGGAATGGGGGTCTGAGCATCAGAAAGGTGAGACATGAACTTGGATGCTCTGATGAGCTGCAAGGTTCTTGAAGATCGTCAACTTAAGAAGGTTTTAATGGGGAGGTTCACCCTTCTGACTCAGGTGGCCTGACTCGAGTAGGACGATGTAGCTGAGGCACTCAATCAGACCAGGAGTTAGAATGTGGTGCTTGGGATCTTCGGTCCAACAGTCCGTATCCGTTTCAACTTTAACATGCATCACGTTCCTTTTTGTTGGACAATATGCCCTGGATTCCGAACTGATTCTTAGTGTCTTAGTGCATCCAATATTGATACATGTCGTTGGTTTGGGGGACGCACGTCCATGTGGAAGTGCCCGACACACCGTGCCCACCGCACTCCATCATACCGGTGGTGCACTCCAACTCCGCAGACCGGCGGTCACGGTGACCGAGGACACGCTGACCGTTTTTAAACCGGGTCCAGCTGTCAATGACCGGTCAACCAAAATCGGCACACAGGAATTTGGGCAGAAAAGAGAGAAACTCATTCAGCTCACTAGACAACATGTGCGAACAAGATGACTTGATGCTCACTCAGTCACTCAGGATGCAAAATCGAGCGGTCGGAAATGCCCCACGATTGTCCATGAGCCAAGGAAGGAAGCGAGCGTGATATCATCCCTGCAATGACAGACTTCTTGCGCCGAAAGCGACCAGTCATGCTGCTGTCCATCCATCCGCATGCATTGCATACTGACTGCAATTTGCAATCAGTTTCTTTATATGGGTGTGAGGCTAGGTGTGTATTCCAATAGGGAGGGGACCCTCTGGCAAAAATGGGTAGACGGGTCGATGTTCCGAACCTTCCAGTGGGTCTTTGGGAGGAGTCCCCATTGGAATACACCCCAACATATAGACAGTACAACGGTGGCAAAGCTTCAAACAGATAGAATTGAAACCATGGCCATTTGGGTCTCCGGATGCCGCAGTTGCGGAGTGTATCAGGTCCGGTTCAGAAACAAGTGGTTTATCTTAGAAGCTTGGTCACCGCCGATGCATTTGGAACGAATGCAACAGTTGCATGTTGACTTAAGACATGTTATGGCCTACAATGGGTCGTTTTTTTCGCAGAGAATGTATGTCTAGGCGGCCTATCATGAATAGGCATAGGAGTTTTCAATACCATTGGGGGTATTGTTCCCTGGAGCTTTGTCCTTGAAAGCATCATTCACGGGTTGATGTTTAAACGTTTTTTGGCAAAGCACTTTTCCTCCGGACCTCCTTAATTACAGCCAAGGATGGACGATGAACTCTCCAAGTTGATTGGTGAACTTCGAGTGCTTTGGCAGCCGATCGCGGTGCACACCAGGAAGTGGCTGGTTTTGCGCTCTCCAAAGAAGCTTCTCAGGTCTACTTCTCGCCAAGAAAGGCTGATGTAGGAGTCTAGGAACAAAAAGTAGGGGATTCTAGGCTCAAAGAGATGATTCTACATCAGAGTCACCTTCAAACACGCACACCACCCCTGGACCGACCAGATTTCGGCCTATTTCATCAGGTCATGGCTTACGCCAATTCTTTTCGATCGATGCCCAAACAAACTGACCCACATGTGATATATATCGGGATGGGGCATGCCTTCATCAACACTTGGAGTCCCTCCAGCATGTAGCGACCAACCTTCCATGACCTCAGTAATCGAATGGTCTCCAGGTGACCTACAGCCATGTTCGGAGAATGGTCTCCTGGTGCCCCTCAGACCAGCATGATGCAAACCTGAAGTCTTACGTGTTGCCACACAAGACCCCTGAGTTGCCCAGCAACCCTTGGAGGGTCCAGAAACACCCTTCAAGACGCCCAGGCCATCAACAAGTTTGCTTTTTTTGAATGGACACAAGCCAATGGTCATTTTCCCATGGTCCTTTGGAGCCTTCGACAGTTCAGACCCCTCCAAAAAAGATGACATTGTTAATTTTCATATTGTCTCTTTGTCCTCCAACCTCGTCCAGTTGATATCTCCAGAGGTGTGCACTGGACTGTTCAAACTGTTCGCCGCTGAAGCGGGGCCCAGGCGCTTTGCCCTCAGCTCTATAGCTTTCATTGGAACATGAGTCGCTGGTGGCTTCGCGATTTTCAGTTCACCTACCGACAAATTGTGGCCATGCCAGAGGCCGGAGGTTTTATTTAGGTGGTGGCAAGGAAGGGATTTGGGAGGCTGAAGAGATGAATCGGAACTGGTGAGCTCATCATCTCAATCTGCTTTTCTGGAAGGGTGTTGATAGTGGTTTGGACGGGTTTGTTCTGATGCGATTCAACCACCAACCCGTTATATAGGCAAAGCCAGTGGTTTGGGCCCTCATTCTGGCAAAACCCCATTTCAAGGGTTGGCACAGTCTGATGCGAGTGTCCACCTTGTTGTGCGTATTGTTTTTGCACATCGGATCCCAATTCCATGGGAGTTGGACGTATTCAAGATGCTCAGCTGCAAGTGCGTTGCTGTTTCATTTGGTATCATCTCTCCATAGCACCTAAGACCATCACCACCCCATCAAACCCACTCCTATGGCAGATGCTATGTCGAATTCCTGCAACTTCTGGCAGATACAAAACACCTCTCTCTCTCTTTCTCTGTATGACATTACAATATATATATATATATACATGTTCCTCTCCCAAAGAGGGATCGGAAACCCCTTCAAAGCCTGTGAGAACGCGCCCGACTGCCTGACCTTTCACGCGTTGAACCTTCCTGTGACTGGGGGGAAGGTGAAGACTCGAGCTGGTCCGGTACATGCTGGGTTTGGGGATCTCTTAGATCTCAAGCACTGGTCTCTAGTAATGCGAACGGCCAGCAGTGATTTTTTCAGTTCTGAAGTTCCGACACTTTAAAACTAAAAAAACCCACTCCCTTCAACGCCAGCCGACCTACAGGTGGCTGATCCTGCAGATGATGCTTTGTGCACTTGGGAGCCCTTGCCGGCTGACGCGCTGCTTGTTCCTAAACAAGTTTTCTTGGTGTCATGCGTACTTAGTACACATGTTGAGCATTTCGACAGTTGCAAGGAAGTTGACGTTGGACACTTGCAAACCTTTCTTATCGTGGACCACAAGAGACACACAATAGATTAGACTTTATAGATCTATTAAGATTGAACATTAGACTTAATAGATCCTAATAGACCAACAATTGATCCTAATAGACCAACCATTAGTAATAGCATAATATCTATCTACTACCTAAAGAACAAATATGACAGACATTTCTTCGATATTCTTTGACCAACCGGAACGGACCGTGCAGTGGAACGAACGGGAACATCCAACTGGCTAGAAGCAGTAGATGTGAACATACTCCCCCACAGCATGCGGACAGTGGAGAGATCCCGGACGGTGTTCCATCTCCATGACAGACATATTAAATAGACGATATATATAATAGATCTTAATATACATATATATATATATGAGAGCAAATTTCTGAAAATGGACAGCACGACCTTGACTCACCTCTCTATGCTATCTAAAGATCGAATGCTGTTCCATGCTGTTCCGTTCTTCTCCAAGGCTTCAGGTGGATGATGAATGATGCTGTTTGCCCGTCGCGGGCCTGGGCCCTTCGTGAAGAGTCAGAGCTGGCAATACCTGGCATGCAAGCCACGACCCTAGGTTGGGCAGTTCCGCTGGTGCATGATGTTGCCATGGAGGATGGAATCATATAGACATCAGTACGTGCCTTGCATCGTCGAGGTCAGCGCCGCGCCCTCTGCGCGGCGCTTGCGCCCTTCCAGCTCTTCGATGCGACTGGAGCGGCTGCGGCCGAACGGCAAAAGGGTCCAAAGACGCGCGGCTTGTGGAGGGATGAACTTGGTCCACCGAAGTAGACCGCAAGACAAGAAGGGTGCAAATTGAATGGAACCATGTGACTGCAAAATGGACTTCTGAAGTGAGTGAAGTGAAGCTGGCTCCCTATAGTGGTCGTTCCAGGCTTCGTGACGATCCAAAGTAGGAGGCCATGAATAGCGGATGGCAGTGGTTGTTTCAGGCTCGATGATGAGCCAGAGGATGCCACTTTCAAGATGTGGGAACACCCCACCAAGAAACATGATGGATGGACTTTGTGGAGAAGAGAAGCAGAACCTTGAGCAGATGGCCAGCCGCAAGGATGGTGATCCTAAGATGTACGTCATTGTTGAGATCAACATCACTGATTTGATTTAAGATTCGGGCGGTTGTTATGCAATCCTTTTCCATGTTATAGAACTGCGGAGGCCAGTTTCCCTCTTTAATGGAGTGTGGATGCCAACGGTCCAATGAGTGTTTTCTTTGCTGTGTTGGAGAGAATGTCCCGCAGTCTATTCCGTGGGAGGCTGATCCTGAATGATCATATCATGTACGGCCTGATAAGGGGCTTTGTCCTATAGCAGATGATTGCCGTTTGCTGTGCTTCTTGTTTCACCAGAGTCTGGCTCTGTTGGCCTGTTGGCCTAATAGCAATGGGGGGCCCCAACCTAAGAATAAAGTTGTGTTGTGTTTTTTCCCCTCAAGGACTCAAGGAGCTTTGTGTCTATTTTGAATGTTCTGTCAGTTCGCAACAATGTGGAGACAGATTGGTCCGGCCAACGGCAACACGACCAGTCCAGGCCCGGTCTTGATGGTTTTGGACCTGTCGCGCAGCCAGACGTTCTCAAAATGAGGCTGTGCGACGTTTGGCAGTCGTTGGATCCAAGTCTGTGGGGTCAAGTCGGCAACCAGCGGGAGGATCATGGCTGAATCATCGACGGCAAAGCTGGAATTCAGCGATGGGGAACTTTCAGATTAAAGGTCAATGGCATATACTTGTGTGAGATGGTGTAATGAAGGATGTATCAAGCACATGCATATGTATGCGTCAAATGGCAGTCAGAGCCAGAACTGAGTTGATGTGCTTCACTTTTTGATGCTTTTGTGGTGTCGGGGAGAAAATGCTTTAGCACTATAAGAAGACTAGGTCTTCTCACATCGTTGGTATCAAAACTCAGAGCACCACGGAACCACATGGCTTCAGCCCCGAAGGGGTGAGGGTCACAGCCTCTCAGGTAGAACGACCCGGAGCTATGTACTAGCATAGTGGCGCTGTACTTTAAACATGGGAAGGATGGTCAAAAAGTTCCCTTTCTTTACCGTAAGTATCCTTAAGTGGTCCATACAAAGTGGTCATTCTGTGTCCCATTCCCGTTCCATGGTATTCTGAGTCTGGCATTTGTGAGCGACTGAGCCAGCAACACTTCGAACCGAAAGCTGTCCCGCAGGCCGCCACACGCCGTCTACGTCCGGCCATCGTCGACCGCAGTGCTTCGTTGGGCGGACAAAAGTGCGACCGCCGTGCGTCGGCGATCCGCGTTCGGCCGGACGAAACGACGTCGGTCGCCAGAGGACTTCGCCGGTGACAGGGCAGAAAACAAGTGACATGCTTTGTCATGCAGGTTCTTGGTTATTTTCTCACGAAACGATGACTTGAGATCCCAATCCAGGCTGAGCAACCTCCAAGATGATCCACTGCCGTGAAGACACAAAACACATTCAGCGAATGGGTGTTTTTTTTGGGTGTGTATCGAAGGATGCAACAGCCCAGCCAGCCTCTGGTAGATTGGGGAATGCCAAACCAAAGCCTTCATATCCAGACCTGGATCAGTTGGAGGTTCTAGCGTGAGAGTGGGACCAATGTTCGGATTCGGATTTCTGAACATCCCAAGCCTTATAGGGCAAAAGGCCCAAGACTTGGATCTGAAAGCAGACTCAATCCCTCGATTTTTAGCCTCATGTGGGTCCATATTTCTGGCAATGCCCAAAAGTCTTTGACAGAGGTAGGTACCCCATTTGTGATGTGGAAGATGATGGAAGACGTAACTTCCAAACTTGTAGCCGGAAGAGTTTGGACAGAGAAGATAGCTGTAGCATGCTGTAGCGTAGCTTTTGTCCTGAAGACTAGAACTAAACAAGACAGGCTTGGAAACAGCGTCGCAAGCTACATAGGGTTTTCCTACCACACATTAAAGCCAATGACTAGGGGCTCCTGGCATCGCTACTAGTAACAAGAAGCTACTACTAGTAACAAGTGCATCGCTTCTAGTAACAAGTGCCTTACTGGTAGTAACAAGAAGCTACTAGGGGCACTGGCCTTGGTGCTTCAGTCTTTACAGTCCTCCAAAAGGGGGGCCGATGTAAGAGACGAATACCACACAAGTAAGACTACCAGGACACCCTAAGGGGCTTCATGAGGCTTCTATTGATAGCCCCTTAGATGTTAAGGGGTGTCCATTGACCACCCCTTGTGGGTCCTGGTAGATGTGCTTGATTGACTCATTGAATGAGTCCAAGTCCAGAGTCTCCAAAGGTCCCAGCTCCAGCAGAGGTCGAAGGATCCGAACGTGCGACGAACCCAGTTCGATACCCCAGGTTTCGGGTCCTATGGACGGTCACTGGATACCTCTCTTGGCATGGTTCGTGTACGGGTTACGGCATCCCGGGCGTGCCAAGGACCAACGAGAAGGAGGTGGAGGCGACGAGCTCTCCACAGTTCCCCCAACGGTGTAAGGCGCGATCTGAGTCCTCTCGGTGGAGGATCGCGATCCGAGTCGTGAGAGAACGAGCGAGAGAAGCGAGGGGAGACCACGGCGCGGCAAGAGGTGAGCGACAAGGGAGACCATGAAAGTCGTGATCTGGGAAGCGTATGGAGACATATGGGGACCATAGGAAGTTGAAGAAGTCAGAGCCATTCATTCCCATCTAAGTTTGGCCAGGAATTTCGTGAGTTCCATGGGGATTTCATCATCCAAACTCAGCATGCTTCCCAGTTGCATGTTGGGAAATCGTCCCATCATGCCAGCAGGGAATCGTCCCAACATGCTTCCCGGTTTTGACTTCTGGTCATCGTTTGGTCCACTTAGCCTGTGACGGAAATCTCCGGTTGAGCAGGTCCGAGAGTCGTTGAAGCTGGAAGCTGCTTCTGTGGGGGCCTTGAACAGAAAACAGCCACAAGTACTTGCTTTTGAATGACTAAAGTAATCCATGCTAGACCAGCTTGTGATGTGCACGATATATGTTTAGATAACGTTGTTGTTTTATGTTGTTTTTGTTTTTTATCAATTTCAGGTGGTGCAGAGGTTTCTTCCGTGAAGAGGTAGGGACAACAGCAGAGTTGAAGCAACTCATCGCACAACTAGGTCTTCAGGCAATCTAGCCACATGCTACTGAGAATTGACGTACACGTTCTGTCCGTTTTGATGCATGATGTGTCATGTCAACCTTGCTGCGGCATCCGGGCTTTTCGTTTTGAGTTGGCCACGACTGGGTCGCTGACCTGGGTCGCTGCAGCTGGTCTTGGCTCGTCCGCTCGCGCCCGACACCACCGGCGACTTCGGCCCCATGACCGCCTGGAGGTGCGGATGGCCCGGCCCCGGACGGACGGGGCAGCCAAGTACAGCCCCGGACGCTGAAGAGGGCAACCCCCTGCCCCGTTCAGTTGGGTCGCAAGGAAGAACTTGGGACCAACTTGGGACCAACTTGGGAAAGCTGAAGGCTTGGAAGAGGTTGGTCCCAAGTCCCAAGCCGACCCGTACGTGCGAGCAGACCCGTCATTTTCTGGGGTTGCTCTGGTGAGAGCTGTGGTGAGAGGCTTCACCAAACCGGGGTAACTTGGAAAAAAAGGATTGTCGTGCACGCAACATGCCCCAACTGTGTGTTTTGTTGGCGGTGCTGTTTCGAGGAAGTGGTTGAAGCATGTTGAAGGATACCACCCAGTTCAGGCCTCGGGAGATATATGCGATTTCACCTTTATTGGACGATTTTGGACTTTGGACACAACTGACCGCTGAGAACAGGTGCAGAACATGGCGAATGAGCGGTTGACTGTTCATGAACCATGACACTCTATGAATGGAACATACATTGACCCCTGAACCACCAAAACCTAGACAAATATTGCATACAGTGTCAGAGTTGGGCATTTCTTTAAACCAAACACACGAATTCCCTGGACCGTCATCCCGCGTCATCCCGGAACGTGAACACGGCCGCTTCTGACTCCACATCGTGTTTGACTCCAGGACGCTCGTTTAGCGGGACGGGAATGCCAACAAGGCCGGGATTGGCGATGCGCCACGTAAGAGGGTGGGGGCATCCTGTTACAGTCAATATGGTGCTAAACAGGTTTTCCTGCATGGTGGGCCAAAACAAACAAAAAGGTGCAACGACTTACTGCAACGACCCGACATTCTGAAGGCGAAGAGTGACGTGCGCGTTTTGTTGACGTTTCTCATGACTACACAAGAGAACGAGATCCAAGGGGAGCGTCCTACCCGAAGACTATGTGGGGTCCATGCGGACAACATCGTTTTCACGGTGAAATGGAAACGCATGTGTAGGGTCTATCTCTAGGCGGGTCAAAGGTCAACCACCAAGGGTCGGGGTGCGCCACTTCTGGGTGTGCGACCTCTAAGTAGTGTTGGGTCAGTTGGTGACCCTGAACGGAAGAGGCTGGCAAACTAAGTGCCCACCGCTGCTCAAACCTGAATTCATCTGAATCCTATGTCCTATGTCTAGAGTCTATTGCCACTGGCCTGCCCTGTTTGGGTCTGGTGGGAGTTGGATGGACGATGTCTTCCATGAAATTGTGAATAGAATGAGTGGGTTTGTGTGACAATAAGGCACCGAGTCATGGTCAATTTGGGTCAGCAAATCCACGAGCAGAAATCATGAAGCTATCTACCTGGGATTTGGTCCAAATCAATGGGTCTACGGTCTACAGCATGGTATCAGCATAGACCTCAGAAAGGGAAGCCTAGGGGTTGGTGGTCAATGCTTCTGGAAACCAGGGGTTGTGTTCAGGAAGGACATGGAAGAACCATGAAGGACCCACTTAGTATTGATATACTTTGACCTCGATCGTGCCACACACAAAATACAGTCAGACACCCTTTGTATCCCTTTGTAATGTGTTGCAAACAACTAGAATAGATCATAAAGTCCTTCAAAGCGGCCAATGTGACCCTTTGTAATGTGTTGCAAACAACTAGAATAGATCATAAAGTCCTTCAAAGCGGCCAATGTGACCCTTTGTAATGTGCTGCGAACCACTAGAATAGATTATAAAGTCCCTCAAAGCGGCCAATCTGACCCTTTGTAATGTGCTGCGAACCGCTAGAATAGAACATAGAGTTCTTCAACGCGGCCAATCTGAGGCTGTAAAGTCTTTTTTGGTCACTTGGTCCCGCCTGTTCAAGCCACGATTCGACCAGATTTGAGGATATCCTGAGGCTCGAAGAAGGCCCGCCCATCACCCATGGCCTTCACCCCAGTTTCACCGAACTGCCATGTCTGAACATAGCCATTGCGGAGGGTCAGACCCTCCAGCTGCTTTGAGCCCCGGCCAGTCCATCGGTCGAAACCGCCCAATCGAACGAAGAAGACAGACCGGTCCCTCCAGGCACGTGCCCGTCCCGCGGCAAGCGCCCGTCCGGGCGCGGCCCATCTCTGGAAAGCCCACAGTGCAGCGCAGTCAGGCCGATCCAGACTGGATGGCTGGAATGATTGGTGTATGGCTTTGAGGATGTTTACATTGTTATGTAGTGTTTTGGAAGCAGACAATCACCGGATCTTCAACTTTGGATTGGATCATCATTTTTGATTAGGGCTAAACAAAAACGTGATATGGTAAATGATGTGTCAATCCTGCTGACAGTAATAGTTACTAATGGCTTCGTCCAATTGTTTTGATAAAGGACTTATCCACGATCAGAGGTGATGGTTCCTACCCCAGGCGTTCCTTACTTTCATGGTTTGCAAATCACCACCACTGCCATCGCCAGATTTGGACGACGACCTCCAGCCAGTTCTACCATGACTGGAGACCGACCGAAGAGCACAGTGCCTTCCCTGCAGGTCCGCCGGCAGGGTGTTTGCACGGGGTGGGGGCAAAACCAACGCGTCCATGATCAACATTATCATGGCAAGTGTATGCGTGTCAGTTTGGTTGAGAGATGGCTGACGATGGATGTTGGATGAGAGATGGCTGAAGATGGTTGCGTGTCAGTTTGGGTTGAGAGATGGATGTTGGATGGCTTGAAGATGGCTTCTGGGGACATCTCACTGCCATAAAGGTTACCAGCGCCTTCCACCGGGTCACCACTGGACTTCCATACGCCCACTGATCTCAATTGGACACTGCAAGAGCCAAAAACAAAATGAGGCAGCCAGGGCACAGGATCGGAAGTTGGTTTTTCCCAACATGAAGCCAATGAACCCGAATGAACCTACATATTTGGGCGAGAGCTTTTTCTTTAAACAAATCTTGACATTGTCGCATTGTAACATATCTTGGGTCTTGAACGGACATGGAATTCATGACTTTTCTTTGCCATCATCCCATGATTTTTTCTGGTTTTGTAGGTGGCAGAGATTCCAGTTTTCACGGTCTTCAACCACACATGGGCCAATTGGTCGACGCGGTACCAAACCTGTCAATCAGACAAACCATCCAACTTGACAATCGCCGGGCGTGAGTCACAATGGCCCCAGACCATTTCACTTCGTTCGATTGCGGTAACTAAGAGACTAAGAGTGTAGTTTCAGAGGACAGGTGTGTTAACTGCATTGACTGCAGGCGGGCTTCTACTACGGTTCTACCCTCCCTTCTTGAACTTGGGGTTCAACACCGAAGACACTGAGGTGCTGGTTCTGCCAGAGCTTTGCAGAACACTAAGGCTGGAGATGGTGCATCGGTGTTTTTCTCGGTGTGTGCTGCGGCCGGTGGGTGTGCCCCTCATGGTGGTTGAGGGGGAAAGAAATGGCAGCCCACAGGCTTAACTGACCGGCGCGTTCAATGACTTAGCTTTGACTGAACGTCTCCCCAACTGGCGTGAAGCTCTCTTTGTCCCTGTCAAGCCCACCATTGCAGCAGTGTGCAAGCTAGAAATGCACAGTAGACTCAACATGCCAGGGGTCTTGCTTTGGGAAGAAGATGTCTTTTCTCAACCCCCCCCCCTCACGGTACACCCTTTATGTCCACGCGGATACATGTTCCTTAAAGGATGCATTGCCCAACTATCATCGCCCATGGAGGCGGACGCAGTCTCTACGCCGAGCACCACGAAGACCAACAAGGCGGAGATCACTGGTCCAAAGATGGTTTATATAAATATGTTTTCAAAGACTCGGTGTGGCTCTCGGTGTGTCCAAAGAGTGTTCGAAAAAGCTGAAAGATGGGTATCGGTATGACTTGTTTGATGAGTATTCGGTGTGTGCGATGGGTGTAGATGGTCTTGTGGAAGATGTGGTGTCTTTTTTTCAGGCTGCATTGGCGTGGTGCGACACCAATCATACGTCCGTTGGCCGGAGAAGCACGCTAAAATGGATGTAAAAGAAACAAATTGGGTTTGCAGCCGGTGCAGAACTCCAAATTACAATGTTTTCCGTTTCTGAGATTCTTCGGAAAGTTCCGAAGCTCTTCACTGGACGTCCGTCCTTAGGTGAACTTGCTTAGGCCTAGGCCCGCCCTTAAGCCCTTTGGGTTCACAAGGAATGTACATACCAAGAGGTTTAACTTTGTGCACGGGATCAAGCAGGACGGGCAAGTTGAAGTGAGATTCTCTGACGGGGTTGGACCCACGAGTCTGTGAGGTTTGTTTGCCCATCGTCCAGATGATGCGTGCGGCTCTTGGGAGACGATGCTGTCAGCTTGAAAGAAGCGAACATAAAGATCCAACTGGATCCAACTGATCCAAGATCCGATCAGACCCTTTTCGGTGGGGTGTGACCGCTGCAAACTGCAAGCATGCTGCAGGAAAGTCTGAATCCCAACCAATGTGCGGGACTCAGTTCGGAAGTTGTGGTTGCTGAGGAGCAGTTCGATGGACTCAGTTCGATGTCATCGAGGCTGTGAACAGCTGGGTGAATAGGATCACAGTCTGGAACCAATTCTTTGGCGCTTCTTCGCGCTTGGTTCAGGTGCTTCTTCGTTCATCCTTGCATGTTAAACCATGGATTGGTTCAGGCAAATTGATGGATCCTCACAGGTGGTGACCCTAAAACCTGAAACATCCTTTTATGGTTGATGACCCCTCTTTAAAACCTGCTGACTGTAAGAACAATTGACCACTTCAGGTCCAATATGACCGACTGGGTGGAGGTGTCAAACACTGTTTCTTTTTCCCGAATGCGTAGCGAAGGGTTCCCGTTTATAGTTGGGGGTCTGGGGGTTGGAGCTGTGTTTGCATGGCTTGCGTCGTGTCGTCGTTTGTCGTCGTCTCTCGTCGTCTGTCGTCGTCTCTCGTCGTCTCTCGTCGTCGTGTCGTCGTCGTCGCGTCTCAAATTTGCTGCTATTGGGGGAAGCTTTTGCAAGTGACTTTTCATGGATGTGTCACGTGTCAGTTTGCGCCGCAATTCCATTGTGATTTGCATGACACCGACATGTCGCGCAAGAAACGTGATGCATTTCGCTGCACAGGCGCAGCGTTTTGTGAGATCCGCAGATTACTGCGCAGTGCCATTGGGATTAGCGTTTGGAGAGTCGAATTTTTGGGGTGTTGGATGTGGCCGTGCCATTGGGATTTGCGTTTCAGGGTGTGGCATCGAAGCTCGGTTTTCGTGACAAGTCTCAGCTGAAGTGGCGATTTTGGTGGATGGGAGTGTGCTCTGAACGGGTCGAAATCATTCCAAACGTGTGGTGTGGTGCAAATTTTGTTGAAGCTCACATGCGATATATTGTCACTTTTCGTGGCAGGCGCAGGACTTCGTGCGGGCGTTGAAGCGTGGAAGTGCGATTCTCGTGGCAGGCGCAGGGAATCGTGAGGTTGCGAGGTGTGAGGGAGGTGACATTTCGTGGCAGGCGCAGTACTTTGTGCGCGTTAGACGTGTGGATGGGGAAAGATTCGTGGCAGGCGCAGGGAATTGTGAGGTTGTGAGTTGTGGTAGAGGTGAATGTCGCTGTCACATTGGGATTGGCGTGTGAGCGGATGTTGTTTGGAGGGGCTGGAATCGCGAAACTGCTTGGCAGGGCTGCGTGATGTGTGTGCTCCGATGGGTGTTTCCGCTTCTTTTGGAGGAAGTCTCGTACGAAACGCTCGTTTTGCAGACTTTGACGTGTGAGTTTTTGAGGAAGTCTCGTACGAAACGCTCGTTTTGGAGACTTGACGCGCAACCCTCTGCGGAGATCGTGCGTGTCGAGTGTGCGAAATGCAGGCGAGAGTGCGATTTGTCCCATGCGCGCGCAACCCTCTGCGGAGATCGTGCGTGTCGAGTGCGCGAAATGCAGGCGAGAGTGCGATTTGTCCGGTGCCCGCGCAACCCTCTGCGGAGATCGTGCGTGTCGAGCGCGCGAAATGCAGGCGAGCACTGGCGACTTTGTAGTACAACTTTAGTACGCGGGGTATCTGGGGAGCTGGAAGATGAGAACTGGTGAGAGAACTGGCGACTTTGTAGTGCAACTTTAGTACGCGGAGCAATCTGTGGAGCTGGAAGCTGAGAACTGGCGACTTTGTAGTACAACTTTAGTACGCGGAGCAATCTGTGGAGCTGGAAACTGAGAACTGGCGACCTTGTAGTACAACTGTAGTACGCGGAGTATCTGGGGAGCTGGAAGAGAGTCCCGCAAGAGTGTTCCGCAACAGTGTCTCACAAGAGTGTCCCTTAAGAGTGTCCTACAGGAGTATCCCACAAGAGTGTCCTACAAGAGTGTCCCACAACAGTGTCCCACAAGAGTGTCCCACAAGAGTGTCCTACAAGACTGTCCCACAAGAGTATCCTACAAGAGTGTCCCACAAGAGTGTCCCACAAGAGTCTCCCACAGAGTCTCCCACAAGAGTGTCCCAGAAGAGTTTCCTACAAGAGTGACCCACAAGAGTGTCCTACAAGAGTGTCCCACAAGAGTGTCCCACAAGAGTGTCCCACAAGAGTGTCCCACAAGAGTGTCCTACAAGACTGTCCCACAAGAGTGTTCTACGAGAGTGTCCCACAAGAGTGTCCCGCAAGAGTGTTCCACAAGAGTGTCCCGCAACAGTGTCGCTCAAGAGTGTCTCACCCGAGTGTCCCTTAAGAGTGTCCGACAAGAGTATCCGACAAGAGTGTCCTACAAGAGTGTCCCACAAGAGTTTTGCACAAGAGTGTCCTGGAAGAGTGTCCCACAAGAGTTTCCTACAAGAGTGTCCCACAAGAGTGTCCTGCAAGTGACCCACAAGAGTGTCCCACAAGAGTGTCCTATAAGAGTGTCCCACAAGAGTTTCCTACAAGAGTGTCCCACAAGAGTGTCCTGCAAGTGACCCACAAGAGTGTCCCACAAGGGTGTCCTATAAGAGTGTCCCACAAGAGTGTCCTACAAGAGTGTCCCACAAGAGTTTCCTACAAGAGTGACCCACAAGAGTGTCCTACAAGAGTGTCCTACAAGAGTGTCCCAGAAGAGTGTCCCACAAGAGTGTCCTACAAGAGTGTCATTTGGACATATTAGTTTTTCGAACGTGTTTGCATTCGGGTTCGTGGGTTCCATCTTGTTTTGTTAATCTTAAATCAACTTTTTTTTGTGACTCACCCGTCAGAACGGTCACCAAGGACACGAGGGCCCACGAGCCTCTACCCGGACCTCTCGGAGAAGTCCAGGTGTCAACAACTCTTCAGGTCCAAGATGTCGGCAGGGCCAGGGGCGAAGATGGAGCGCAGGAAGGTCCATGGACCGCTGATGTCATGTCAATGGACCGTACTTGGAGGTGGTGCAACTGTGTACTAAGTACCCAAGTCGTGGTTCTGTGGTACCCATGGACCTCGTTGGTCAGGGAGAGGGTGTTCGTTTTCAGGAGCGAAAGATGTCTTAGTATGGAAGTCAGCATCAGGGTGTTCATGGGGGAAAAGTGATGGAAAAGGTCGGAAAAGTGTTGAATTTCTCTATATAAGAAGTTCTATTATATATATTAGTTGTTCTACCATGATGTTCTATATTGTATATATATATATTATGTTATATGCATATATGAATTATTATACTATATTTTTTGAGGATGCCTTGGCCTTGAAGAAGGGAATGCTTGACTGAAAGGTGGATTGGAAGTCATCCATTCGGCACCACTTTCATTCACGAGTTGATTCTTGGACCCCTCTTTGCATGCTGCCAGCTTTGGAGGGTTTCCCCAAAGAGGGGTGCCCTCTCGGGGCGCCTTACCCGCCGCGCCCTTTGCGCCGCTTGGTGCTGCGCTGCAACATGGAAGTCAGGGCTGCTTTGTCGGGCGAGCGCGTCGCTGAGCTTGATGAGGATGAGTTGCAAGGCATGGTGGATGCTGGAAAGTCTGTCAGGCACCTGGAACAACTTCTTGCAACTCAAGTTGGATGCTCCAGATTTCGGCAAAGACTCTTCAGTGATGGGGTTGGTGAATTGGAGGATGACATGCCTGTAAGTTCATTTCCAAGGGTGCAGTTGGTCATTGTGGACCTTATGCCTCCAGATGCAACGATGGAAGAGAAACTCATCCGCGCTGCTCAGGAGAACAAGCTAGATGAAGTTGAACGTTTGCTTCAAGCACCACAGGATCCTGATGGAAGAGGTGTAAACTCCACTCACGGACCCATTCATGTTGCAGCTCTCAATGGCCACTTGGAAGTCGTGCGCTTGTTGCTAGAGGCTGGAGCTGACACGAACTCAGCAGCGCTTGGTGAGACAATGGCATTGTTTATAGCGGCTCAGGGAGGCCACTTCGAAGTTGTGCAGTTGTTGCTAGAGGCTGGAGCTGACAAGAATGCAGCAAACGAAGATGGGGCAACGGCTTTGTTGATTGCAGCTCAGGAGGGCCATTTGGAAGTGGTACGATTGCTGCTAGAAGCTGGAGCAAGCACCAATGCCGCTACAAGAGACGGTGCAACCACCTTGTACATTGCAGCTCAGAAAGGCCATCTAAGAATCGTGCAATTATTGCTCGAGTTTGGAGCTGAGAAGAATGCACGAACTGCAGATGGGGCTGCCTCTTTGTACATTGCGGCTCAGAATGGTCACTTGAAGGTTGTGCAGTTTTTGCTAGAGGCTGGAGCTGACAAGAACACTGCAAAGGAAGATGGTGCAACGCCTCTATTTATTTCATCCCAAAAAGGTCACTTTGAAGTTGTGCGATTGTTGATTGATGCTGGAGCTGATCTGAATGCTGCAAAAGCAAATGGTGCTACAGCGTTGAGTATCGCGGCTCAGGGAGGCGACTTGGAACTGGTGCAGTTGTTGCTAGAGTCTGGAGCCGACCAAGATGCGGTCACCGAAGAGGGGGCAACGGCCCTTCACATTGCAGCCTTGGAAGGCCACTCAGGAGTTGCACATTTGCTGCTAGATGCTGGAGCTGACAAGAATGCCGAAGCAGTAGGTCAGACAATGCCTTTGTTTGCTGCAGCTTCTAAAGGCCACTTCGGAGTTGTGCAGTTGTTGCTAGAGGCTGGAGCTGACAAGAATGCTGTCACGATTGACGGAGCATCAGCTTTGTTTATTGCAGCTCAGGAGGGCCACCTGGAAGTTGTGCGGTTGCTTCTCCAAGCCGGAGCCGACACAAGTGTGGCAATAGCAGGTGCAACGGCCTTGTTTGTTGCAGCTCAAGAAGGCCGCCTGGAAGTGGTACGCTTGTTGTTGGAGGCCAGAGCCGACCTGCATGCAGCCACCGCAGGGGGGATCACAGCCTTGGGGGTTGCAACCCAGCATGGACATATGGCCATTGCAAGGTTCTTGCGAAAGGCCGAAGAGGCTGAACAAGCACGGCATGCGAGAAAGGAAGAGGAATGGAATGCCAGAAAGGCCAATGGTCCACTCTACGGTCCTGAGAAGCCCCGCTGCGTTGTGATGTGATCGAGCTCATCGGCATGCGGGAAAGGAGAATGAGACAGCTAGGCCGATGTCTACAGTGAGGCTGCGCTTCCAACCTATTAGTGGCCTCCAATCTACTAGCAATGGCCTGCAAACAGCCAAAAAAAGGTGCTTCCAATTCCAAGATGCGATGTTCTGCTATTTCCAGAAAAGGGAAACGTTCCGGGTGTATAGGAATTCGGAATGTATCATGTGGAGAATCGATTGCGAAAGAGTTCTGTCCTCATGTTCCTTTCACGATCGTTGAGAATCCTGTGATATCCTGTCTCCAGATGTTCAGTCCCCTTTTCTGTTCTGAACCCAGATTCTTTTGAATGGTTCTGGCTTTCAAGAATTTGCCAGACCTTGTCCCTGCGCAGCTTTTTTGGGAGCACGTGTCTGTCGCACAGCTCACGAGCAACTGAGCGTTTTTTCAGGCACGGCGATCCAACCCACTCCTCCCCACACTAAAGGCCTCACCAAATGATATGGCTTTTTAGGACCTTCTTGGGCAAACACCAGAAAAAACTGTTGGGAGGGAACAGAACCTTTGTCTCCTTGGAAAATCCCAAACCTTTTAAACATATCCCCCCAAAACAACAAAACATATCCAACGCACCGACCGCGGTCAGGCGGTGGGAATCGCTGCCGGGACTCCGGAAGCAGTTGAGGGCCGAAGACCTCCAAATGCTTGCGGAGCAGGCCACCGAAGACCCGTCGCGGGGTTTCGGCAGACACAGCGGTTTCGGCACCGAGAACGACGTGCACCGGGAGTGGACAAAGCTGGGTTGGGCGTTTTTTGGGGGCCAAGTTTGGCGTCTATATGGGATGGTAATTAGGATTTAGAGAGGGAAGCGGAATCCGGTGGAGCCAGAAACCGAGTGTTTCTTCAAGGGAACAGATCAGATCGGCTAGATCGACTGAAACACTGACTTTTGGGTCTGACGGATTGCTCCCCAGATTTCTCAACCATTCCACGCAGTTGTGGGCGAAGCCTTACAAAGCCCGGACATAGGTGACGAGGGTGCGCACACTTGTGCACAGACTGTTTGGGTTGTCTAGTTCAAGATGAAGAGAGCGGGAATTGGCGGGATAATTCTCATGTGGCAAAGGCTGAATTTGAACCATATTATGACCAACCATTACAAATCCCTTGCCACAGATTTAACAGACTTAGGCAGACATAGACTGATATGTTAATTTATGTTAATTTAACGCTTATAGACTAATTGTTGGTGTCATTTGTTCATGTTGGTTTACTCACCCTTGGCGTTCATTAAATGCGGGCCAATCAACTTTGAGGCGCAATCTTGAGAAATCAGTGCGCAAGATTTCCAAAAAAAGAGCCACTGGGCCACGTTCGTCACATCTGAGCGCAAGAAGAGCGCAGAACGCCACTGACATCAGACAAAGTCTCATGACATTCCTCATGAGGTATGGACAATCAATGTGCATCTCACAGTCAAAAAAACGGATCTCTCATCGTCTCTAGTGACTATTGCATGTTTTCCGATGATTTACGTTTCTTATTTCTGGCAATATTTTTGTATAGAAACTCTTGATACTTTGATCTGACCTGGGACGGCAAAACTTTTTCTCTCCGTTCATAAAGGATATGCAAGTCGAAGAAATAGATGGATGCTTCACTGCTCTTTCGAATGAGAGTCGAGTGTTGAGTATACGAAAGGATTTAGGAGTCGTTGTTTGCATCAGTTTCCAACTCTTTTTCACCTGCTGTTCTCCACCTGCGGTTTTCTGCCGTGTGCCATGAAATGCGCTGGCTGCTTGTGGGGTTGATTCTTACCACTGGCTGCTTGGGAGAGCTGGAGTACGAGTTGGTGGTGCCAGAGGCTTCCAGGCCCGGTACAGGTCTTCAGCGAGACGACTTGGATTCCGAGGCACTGGATGTGCTCTTGTTGATCGAGACCGACGCGGAGTGCTTCCGAACGGCGCAGAGCGACGTGCGCAAGTGGGCCGCGGCCGGAAACCACATGGTGGCCACCTGTGCCTACCCGGCAGCCTTTAGCTTCAAGGCCTTTGCGGCAGCAGCGGGCTTGCGCAGTTGTGAGGAATGCAATTTGGAGCGGAGTTTGAACCATTTGCGGAGCTTAGTGGGCGAGTTCAAGGTGAAAATGCACGAGCTGGCACCCAGCATGCGGCTGCCGGTGCCCATTGCCAGCATTGTACGGCGCTACGTGCTGGAAGAGGTCGAGGTGATTACTCGAGCCTTTCAGAAGCTTTGGAGCAATGAGGCACTTCACAGATGGTTACAGAACCCGATGGAACTCTCAGCTGCGGCACTGGAGTGTGCACGCTTGGCAGGTGAGCGAAGGCGCATTTTGTGGTGGCGAACCAACATGATGACCTCAGTGGAGGAGTTTGGATTGGGTCACCTGGTCGAGTTGCTCGCGCCGCGCTCCGACTTCCTGTTGACTCGCCAAGGCGCGCTGGAGGAGCTGCTGGGGGGTCCACCGGCCGCAGGACTCACCTTAGTAGAGGTGGGTGTCCATCTGGCGCGGCTGGCGTTTGCGCTGCTGGGCACCCATCAAGGTCTTTTCTACATCGGTGTGGACCCATTCGTCTACGGCGAAAGCACCTCGCTGGAGTCGCGGAAGCAGCAGTTGCGTGATCTGGGGCTCTCACCTGAGGAAGATGGAGGCATGGGGGCTCAGGAACTCAGCTCTGAGGTGCGTCGCGCAGCTGAAGACAAGCTGAAGTTCTTCCCAGGCCGAGCGAAGTTGCTGGCCGTGCCCTCCGTGGATGCAGCTGCTTTGGTGCCCGACCAGTCGGTGGATGGCGTGTTCATTGATGGCGATCATTCGTACCTTGAGGTTGTGAAAGATATTGACGCGTGGGAACCCAAGGTCAAGCCGGGAGGCTTTTTGAGTGGCCACGACTTTGGCAACCACCGTGACGTGGCCAGGGCCGTGCTGGAGCGCGCTGCGGAGTTCAACCGAACGGTGCACCTCTCAATGGATTGGTTCTGGTACTATTACCTTTAGGATGGATCCTTTAGCTCATCATCGTACCGAGGCTGGAGCCAATGGCGCAAGCCAATGGCGCAGTAGGCGGAACTGGAACACCCGGGAGACGACCAATCCACTTCGGCGGTTCGCAGAAAGTCACGTCCCGATGCCGGTTCCGGTTCGGCCCGGCAGAAAGGTCGAGTTCGACTTGAACCGAAGTGTTTTTGGACATGCAGTTCCCCGAAACGCATCTGCTTCCAAGACCGAACAAATGGGAACGACCTGGCTTACGGTAAGTGTCGACATGTGTCGAATTCTTAGCATTGAACAGATGGTTCTTCGGTCTTCAGGCGAACAAATGTTGTTAACCATCTTCTTCAGTTCGCATCCGCAGATCACATTGGATCATCCGCAGATCCGCCACTTCTGAAAACCCCCCCCACGCCACGACCACGTGCCGCATCCGGTGGACCATGGGGACGGGACGGTGCCGGTGGCCGCGTTGCTGCGGTCAGGTGGAGGCCCTCAGCCCGGCCGACCGGAGTTCTCGCTCCCCAGGTGCGGAGGGAGGGGCAAGGAAGAGGTTGGTGGGAGAAACTAGGACTATGCATGTTTGGATCCTTTGGTTTATGCTTTACGATGCTTTATGGGTCTTGATGGGCTATTGCATGCGACATGTAAGCAGGTGAAACATGTTCAGGTCTTGTGACCACACAAACCTGACATCTGGATCCGCTAATGGGTGTGTATTTCGTTCCATCCATTCACCATGGGTGTGGACACACACTGCATTTGTACAGCCAACACCGCAGACCCCCAGTACCCACCGTAGACCCCACTGCACGGTCAGGGGCCGGTCGTGGTCCCTCGCCCGTGAACGAGGGACGGCGTCGTCCTACCCCAACTGGTCGATTGGTCGATTTTCCTTCTTGCAGGGGGTCGAACTGGGACGTCGTGACGTCGTCCTATTTTCATTTTACATTTGGCCTTGTACCTTGTGATGCTTGGCTCATTCTGACCGTCCACCTTGGCAAGGCACCAGAACCACAGCCCAGCAGGATGAGAGCCCAAAGAAGGAGATCTGATTGGCGATCCTGAATGATCCTGGTAGGTATGGCGAGCCATATGCGTTGCAGGAGGTACGGCGCCGTGCCCTGGTCGATAAAGCATGACCAATATGAGTAATGCAGAATCCGTTGTTGGAAGATGTTGGTGTTGGCTACGTAAGTTTGGGTGATGGAAAGGCCCCCGCGTACTCTTCGCAAGCACCACGACTGAGGACATTTATCAAAGTGCAAACAGGTACAAGCGAGGCAGTCCAAAGTGGGTTCCTGGTAAGCCAACAAAAGCTGGTGTGGATTCGCTCCCTTTTCTAGCCACTCTAGATCACTCTAGGCTGTACAGCCTGCAACAAGAAGTATTACAGCAATTATATATCAAACGCTATTTGCTTTTGGTGACTCATTGCGACCTTTGTCCACTTTAAGCAGCGAGTCAGAACTTGGATGTGGTCTAGCTATTCGTAAGCTGGACAATGATCCATGAATGAATTTAGCAGCTGTGTTTCACTCCAGACTCTCAACACCCCGAAAAGAAGTGAATCTACCGCTGGTGGTTGCAATCCTAGAAAACCACATGCGAACCCATACTTGAAGCAGACAGAAGCATCCATCAGAAATTTCCGCAGGAAATGCTTGCCAACCATTTTAGTGTATCTGAGTTGAAGCAGTCAATGTGACTTACAGGTATAACATCAAGGGAATTGCAGTATAACAGTATATGCAGATAAGATGGCACAGATTTTACCACTGAAATCAGCTAAAGATCCTGTCATACATAAGTAACCTTGAAAGCTGCCCGGTCCAACCACGTCATGGCCTAAACTCCCTGCAGGAGTTTCCCTTCATTCCCTGCACTTGCTGTGAGCGTGAGCCCGGGCACCTGTGCCAATCGGGTCGGGTCGCCTTTGTTCGGAAAGTCTTTGAGAACTTTGCATTTGACACCTTTGGAGGAGCATATATATTTATATATAACAACTTCCAAGTCGATTTCCAAGTCGATAGCTATAGAACACGACTAGGCAATATGGTACCAATGTCTTTACAGTTCACCTGCTTTTGAGGACCACCTTTGACTCAGTGTAGATGGCATGGAAAAGACTTGGTGTTCTTTGGCTTGTTTGTTGGTGTGGTTCATTTGGTTTGGCTAGCTGGCTGGTGCACAGATATAAGACATATATGATATGTGTCGGTTGTCAACCTTGGGATGGCGCAGTGCCTGCCCATGGCCGTGAACTCACCTGACATGTTTATCAACGCAGTGGGGATGCCGGTAAACGAGTGGCCGGAAGTATAACATGACCGGAGCCGTCTCAACCAAGTTGATTTTGGTGATGCAGGTCTCCCATTGCGCGGTTGAAGCGAAATGCTGGGATGGCCTGGGAGCCCCAGAAGTTCATGAAGCGAATGCAACGGTCAAAGGGACTTGGTCGGGACTGGACTTGACAGCAAGTAAAGGGGCTGGGTCGCCATCAACAAATCAGAAGTCGAGGGATAATCCATCTTAATCCCCTTGAGTGATCATGTTCCCAGCGCGCCCTTGCTTGAAAGGTCAAAATTGTGAGGTCCATCCATAGGGTTTTCATTTGGGGTGAATGTGGTTTCTTATGTTGCACTATGTTGCACCGAATATTGGATTGACACTAGCCCTCCCCAGCTACAAACATGCAGCATGTCCCATCCTCACACTTGCCACGCAAAGAGAGTGAAACGAAGAGACTGATTCTGACAAGAGAAAGGTTCAACCAAGAATCTATTTGTGCCTGGGGATTGTAATTGTTCTGGCATGTTCTGGCTTTGTATAGGGCAATTTGGTCTCCAAAAGACATCACTAGTAGACGATAGGATCAGGAAGGCAATGTATAGAGGCGGAAGAAGGGTAAAGAAACATGCAGAAAGCCATGCTTTCAGAATATTTGCAGCTTACTATATAATTATAGATATGATATTTACAACTCTCTTGACATGTCTTGGCATCCGGCCTGATTCCGCGGCCTGATTCCGCGTTTGTGCTGGAGAAAGACAAGCAATTTTCCAAGGACTCAAGGATCAACGATCAGACAATATCAAAATATATCAAATATAATATGATCAAACAAAATGCTGATGCTGGTTTCTGCACTGGTACAAGAAGTGAGCAGCATAGACGACTGGGAACGGTTACCGTGCTTTTGGATTCCAACTTTGACCCACACACACACACGTCTTGCATCTCCGAACTTGATCATACTTGTGGTGCAATGGCCTTTATGATCCTCCATGTCCTTGGCGTTCTTAGGACATCACCGCTGAATCAACAAGATGCCGGTTTGTCCATATTTTCTGGGTCCATCCATGCACTGAGTATCTATAGACATCAGCAACTGCAGCATCATTTCCACCGTTCATCCTGGCACGTCAATCATGGCACGTCGCCCGTCCGAGAGGGTCCGGTCAGCCACCGCCGATCCGCAGCCGGGGCGTTTTCCGGCGTCATCAGCCACCTGAGGCGAACTTCGGTCTTCCTTCGGAGAGTGGGCGGTAGGATCGCTGCGGCGATTCGAGCCGGACGGGTGTGCCGTGTGGAACAGCGGTGCCGTGTAGGGAGCTTCGAGACGGTGCCGCGTCCGTGCAGCGAGAGCTGTGTAGTGAAATTGAGGAAGACCCCCAGGCAAGGACCTTTTGGGTGAAGGAAGATAGACCAAAACCCTCCAAAAGCCATTGAGACCTCCCTATTACACACCCAAATAGATCCAAGTAGGCTGTCTTTCTGTGAAACAGAAGACACCAGCTGGAGCAGCTCGCTCAGCTCGGTCCGTCGTGTGTTTTTCTTTTTTTCGGGCTGGGTGAGACATGGTGAGAAAGGTGGGGACCACGAAGGGAGGAACCGACATTGCACGACTTCGGTTCACAGATGCAGTGCCATCAGATGCAGTGCCGTGCCATTTGAGCGGCGCATTCGAACAAATCACCAGCCCGAAACCTTAGCTCATTCGTTCGTGAAGCTGAGCTGCTGTCCGTCTCGAGGGAAACAGGCATCTCACCTAGCGAGGACGCGTGTGAATCAAGCCCAGAAAATCCCAGAAAATCAGCTTGACTACCTATAGAACCCATTAGAACCCTATATAAGGATGCATATTTTTCTATTACCTGCAGGTAAGCATAAAGGTAAGCATAACATGTTATATTATCACTATGTGAGAGAAAGGCATCTATACTAACCACCATCATGTCGCACCAGAAGGTCGCGACAGATCGTCAATATAGACATTGGTTTATCAACTTTATTAAGAATCATAGCCTACTAACTGTCATTCATGTTCATTCATCTATAATCTATATACACTGTTTTCCGAAGTGACATTACACAACAAGCTCCAACTAGAGGTTATAGATACCCCAGTAGAGTCCTATAAGGTCACTTGACCTCTCTTGGCTGGGTCAGGCCAGGCAATGCCACGCACCGAGGACGTGCGAGTGATTTTTCTGATCCTCATCCGAGTGCATCGGGGCGAGGAGAAGGTGGCAGGGCAAAAAGATGAAAGACTAGAAGAATGGGGCAATGGACATAGGATATTTGGTTTGAGGATCGGGTAGAATACATACCCTAACTTGGCAAAAGAACACCCAGACTGGCGCGGAACGAAGACAGATTCCTGATGTTGTGGATATGGTGGTTTGACTCAGTTCTGTCGGTCGTTGTGCCCGGATCAATTGGGGAACACTGAAACGCCCTAGAAAAAGGATCAAAAAAGGGACACCAAACTGACACCTATAGATATATATACTTATATAACTGTTGTTGAGACACTTCAGCATTTGAATCGACAGGGCAGGACCTGGTTGAGTGTTTGCTATAGTTTATGTCATGTCCTCATTGACCAACTGAGTCTCCTCACATCTCCTAACTGAGACCGAGGATTTCATCCTAGTGTCATCGAACCGACATTGGGGTCCCAAGCTCCAGATGTTGGGGCGAAACACGTGGTTCGTGAGGACGACTTGATTGGCATTTGACATGAGGAAATACATCTGAACCACCTTGGACCACCTTGGGGACGATATACATCCCAGCAATCATCTATGACATCCCAGGGTCACCGTCAGGGTCACATGGACCGTCGGGGTCATCATGTGTTCTTTGATTACTGGTCGACTACGAAGCTCAACTGCAGTGTCCATTCTTGCACATGGTTGAGCCGATATCCTTTGCCAACCCAGCCACCAACGACGCTGGGCTTCCAAGACGCATGGCTTTCAAAGCCCTGCGTGAAGCCATGAAGCCCACCCTGTACCATCCCGAACCCGGACGACGAATGGAACCACACGACCTGCCGTGCCGTGCCGATCCGTCGCCGTCGGTTCGGGCAGGTCCTTGGCTCTGTTCTGCCGGGGAGCCGAGAGAGACTGGTTGGGAAACAGCATGGATGGGTGGTAGGGGATGGTTTGCAAATCGAGTTGGCCTTTGATTCCTTGACCCACCTGGAGATCCTGGAGATCCTGGACTGCCGGGTGCGGACTTGGTGCCGTTCTCTCAGGCTGGATGCCTTGGACAAGAAGAATCACGACGAGATGGCCTGGGGGGCGGCGTCCGTGCCAGGGTGGGTACCGGTACGGGTAGGGACCGTTCGACTGACTATATTTTAACCTCTAAACACCCTAAACACCTTTTTGAGGAGGAATAGAAGTCTTTGGGATCTTGACAATCCTGTGATAAGTTGGTTTTGGTGGTTGGGAAGCTTGGTCTGTTTAGGGTTGAGAAGCTTTTGCTGCAGTTTCTGGATTTCTCACTCTGCAGAGTTTGTTTTGGCATCCTAAGCCAGTAATGCCGGACTTGTCAGATCAATGGGTTCGCAGAGACCATGTGCCAACATGCATGAACACGCTTTGGCAAAGGTGAAAGTTGATTGAATCCTGGGGAAAAAATCATGAAGCATCTTCCTGTTGGCCCCAATTGGTCCCCCCCAAGGGTGGTCGAAGATGGATCAGCTGGGGTGCCATTCAGGCCACTTAGCACCTTTCCACCCGGTCCCAGGTGAACGAGCACTTGTCGCCTGGCAAAAAAGGTGAAAGATGGGGGCCAGTTCCACACGGGCCAGTTCAAGGCGTGATTATACTACCTATGGCCTATGACTTAAAAAAAGAAGAGTCTTATAAAGTCCGAGTCCTACTGGTACCTACTGGTAGTATATTTTATACCAAAGTCCTACTGCTACTTGAATGTCCTACCAGTCTCAAATGACATGAGTTCCAAGTGGTTTTAGGACGAATCCGACCCTTCACGGGTCGCCTCCCAAGCACTGGGAGCCCAAGCAGATACATGGATGACTCACGGCTCATATGTTGTGTGTTTGGTTTGAATTGAGAAGTCACAACTTGACAACTTCGATTGTCAAGTTTATGGTAAATTGGAGTCAAGCACCATGCGTGCACCTTTCGTTTATAGCCTCACCAAGCTCTTGAGCAACGTTCGCCCTTCTCGGCAGCCTTCTGACCGTTTGATGTTTTACATGATCAGCCCGCAGTACCCCACTCCAAGTTCGTCCGGACGGGTGGGTTGGCCCGGTCAGAAGGGGACCCGCGTGCGTGGGTTGGCCCAGGTATGATCCCGATGGTCAGAAGTTGGATTCATACTTGAAGGCGGCGGACCCAAATCTGCGGACGGCGGTGGATCGCATCCGATCTACTGCTCTGATTCAGACAGATCTACAGCCTTTCGTGACTTGTGGACCGAAAGTCTTGGACCTGCGAGCGACCTGTGCTGGTCCCTCCAGGAGGGTTGAGAGATGTTGATTGAACTCCGGCATGTATTTCACAAAGAGTTCCAGCCATAAAAACATATTTAACAACGTGTTGTGATGTGTTGTGGTTGTTCTTCGATCGCTTTTTGTGTGTGGAGTCTCTTGCCTCTATCACTCAACCAACCAAGCACTCCCCACCTGAGCCTCACGTGACGAAAAAGCCCCAGAGTCTCTCCATTGGCGTCTTCGCTTCGCGGCAAAAGCTGGTGCCGAGCGACCCGCGCGGACCGTCTTCGGTCACGGCAGGTGAAACTGGCCGATCCGGTGCTGTTGGGGCTCCCATCCGAGCCCATCCGCGTCTGTGCGGTTTTTTTCGTTCTCCATCCGCGGTCACGTCGACCGAACAGTCGGGGGCGAGTGCCATGAGAAGTCGGCCGATTGAGTGGTCAGACGTGAAGTCCTTAACCCAAAAGACGTTGGCCCACCAAATCCCATCCAAACCGGTGCGCACCCCTGTCCGAAGGCTTTTTTTTGGGGGGGGGGGAGTAAACTCGGGGCATACCGAAGCGAATTGGAGCTGCAGTTGGACATGATATGCTTGTGGATTGTGGATGCCAAAGTTATACTATGTAGTGAAGACCCGATGAAGATCATGGAGCAGAAGAGTGTCCTGGAGTGGGTGAACCAGTTTGAGGATGTTTGAGGTGATGTGAGAAAGATAGATTCATAGTTGCCATTGGTAGTGGTTCCAAATGTTTAAAGTATCATCCACAGGTTTTGGGCTAGGACATATCCAAAGTCTATGAGTAGTGTTCTTTTGACTCTTTAGTACGGACTACGGACGTGTTTGTTTGCACATCTAGCTGCTAGGCTGTCAGGTCCTAAGTCTTCCGAGTGGGCAGGTAAGAAGTTGTCAGATTGCAGTCAGGGCAGGGTGCCATAGGAGTTTGATTCGATCTCCCTCCTTCCCAACCTTAACAGCACCTCGGGGTCGCAGTAAAAGAGGCTTTTCTATGCTTTTGTCGATTCGGTCGCTGACCCATCTACAGTGTGGATGCTTTGCGGAGAAGCCGCTGGACACTTCCAAGAATGACATCATTTGGTATCATTTCGCATTTCTGAAAGAAAGCAGGGGATGGACCGGCCAGACCTAGACCATGTTGAACACCCTTATCATGTACCATTTCCGAGGGGAGTCGGTCCAGTTCCTTGATTCGTGCCGCCCCTTTCGACCCAGGACGGAGGTGCGCCGGAGCAGCGTCACGCAGGTGCTGGTGACTGGGGGGAGCGAAGGAAGCGAAGGTGGTGATTGGACTGAACGAGCCATTGGCATCTGGCACCAACAGAGAGGTTGAAGAACCCTATATGGCCTAGATATATGGTACATTATGGTACTATTCCATACGATTCCATAGCTACCAGCCACATGGGTCTTTTTCAAGTCACTTAACCTGTCTTGGCATGAGGAGAGACCCGTTCCTTTCATATTATGCCCAATGCACTTGTGCTTTTTGGGACACGCACCTGCCACCAACACCCCCATCCCCTTGTGAAGTCCTTTTTCGATCAGTGGGTCGAAGAAGATGGTTGAATCTTATCAATCAATATGAATGGTTGGTTGGGTAGGGACATATTGAGATGTGAAACATATAGTGGGGATCCTCAATCTTGTATGCCATTTTGGCTCAAGATTGGGGGCTCCCTAATTTCCTTGTGCCATGGCCACCGTCTAGCGTTTGCCCTGGGGGTGGCCGGAAGGAATTGGGGGGTGCGGGGGGGCGCCCTGTCTGCGACAGGGGCCCTTTGCCGTCCCGTGGCGCATGGAGGCGCATAAGCGGTCGCGGCCGGAGTCTGAGGGTTTGGAACCCAAACGACGGCCCCGCAATACTACACGGCCCCGAAGTCCATCAAGGCCTCCTACGCGGTCTAGCAACCCGTCCACGATCTACCTCCCAGCGT